TGCACTGGTACAATGATCTATGAGGAGTTTGGGATTAAAATACATCTCCAGATAATTGGCATTGATGACTGAGGGAAGTGGTTTATTCCTGTTCAATTGTTGATGGATAAATGCTTGGACTGTAGATCTTACTATTGGTAGTATGTCGGTGGTATGAGAACCGGCGAGGCCTTCTATGTGATCTTGTTTGTATCATGAGGGTATACAGGAACTTACAGGAGCTCTATAACTTCACAACATAACACTAAGAAATTCAGCATCATGAAATATATTTTTATGAATTTTTGGGTAGAATCCAATGATCAATTTGGCATTTTCTGATGACTTTGCAAAATGCAGTACATGTACCTTGTATATTCAAACCATGAGGCCTATACTATCTCTCCATTCGTCAGCAATAGAAAAGATTATATCGATCAATATTCAGCCTCCACTTTCAAATAAGCCACTTCATTGTTTTGGACGTGGTCTGTATAGAAGTGAGATTATGGTAACCATGGCAATTCCAGTAAATAAGTATCAGATACGTGTTTCAAATTCACATGGGAAAGGCTAGTTAATGTGTCCAATTGAATCATCTATTGATTTGCCCGGTACAGAGTTTTAAAAGACGTGAGATCATTTTTTTGGGTAGAATCCAATGATCAATTTGGCATATTCCGATGAATCTGCAAAATGCAGTACATGTACATTGTATATTCCAACCATGAGCCATACATGTAGCTCTCCATTCAAGGAGCAATAAAAAAGATTATATCGATCAATATTCAGCCTTCACTTTCAAATAAGCCACTTTATTGTATATCTTATTTGATGTGGTCTGTATAGAAATGAGATTATGGTATCCATGGCAATTCCAGTAAATAAGAGTCGGATACCTGTTCCAAATTTACAAATTTATTTGGGCAGAATAAATTTATGGCACAAAAAAGGGAGCGAGAATCTACCATTGGCTGAGGCAAAACAGGAGTGCATAAAGATGGGAAGTGTCTTGGTCATGCCACAGTCTCAGAAGGAAACTGAGTTTCTTCAGAACAACATGCACAGCCGGTTTTGGATCAACTGTAATGATCTTCACGTTGAAGGTTTGTCAACTTATATTGCTAAACCATTGACTGACTTCCATTTCCAAATTGTTTAGAGCAAACATGTTGCTTTCATTTTGGAAAGCAAAGTAATTTCATTATTTAAAGTTTCAAACGTATGATTCTAAAATCTTAAAGCTTTACAGTAAAATTCAAGACCAATTAAACCTGACATTACATATTCTCTGTGTGTGTCAGGTACATGGGTGTGTCAAGATGGCACTACTGATGTGGAGTACAGAAACTGGAGGGAGGGTGAACCTAGTAATGGCTGGGGAAAGGAAGATTGTGCAGTAGTGAGACGTGCTGGTGATTGGAATGATGTTAAATGTGACAGTCAGATTCCCACTTTCTGCCAACGACCTGCTCCACAACTGCACTTTTAAGTGACAACAAACAACCGACTTGTCATAAAAACATGACACTTCATTTTCTTTTATTGTAAATTACATCCCTCAAAAAAGCCAGGCATCCTATATATAGACAGTACTGTGAATATGCAATTGAACAAAGTCAATTTGGACACTCGCAAACTTTGGGCAAACACTTTCAGAAAATGAATAACAATTTACAAATGTAATAATCAAACAATTGTTGATGCATGTGGTACTCTTCAGAGGATACTTAGTCCTAAGCATGTATCTTTTTAATGTGTGCTATTTGGAAAATAGTTTCACTTTTTGCTCTGCAATTTTTCACAGAGAACGAATATATGCAATTGAACAACTTGGGCAATTACAAAATTTTGGCATACAATTTCAGATGATGAAAAACAATGTTTTAAAAAGATAAAAATATATATGGTGGTGGTCGTCACAGAATACATGTATGAATGTATTTTTTTTTTAATTTGTAATGGTGGAAATATTTTAATTATATGTTTATTTTATTTAGTTACAGAACTTTTCAATTTTCGTTTCCTGTTCTAAGAATAGTCTCCTTTGGTAATGTAATTAGGCTACAATTGGATGGCATGTAATAAATGAAAATATGAAGCTGCAGTATTTAGTCAAGACTTAGTTATTTATATAAACAGATACAATATAATTATTTTTGGATTAATATCATTGTCATTGAGAAGCGACCGGATATTTATTGTCATTGATATATCAAAAAAGTAGGCCAAGGTTATAAGTATCATGATCACGTTCTTAACAACTAGATATTACCAACCAAATATTACGCGAGGTGCAATTAAATTGACTTGCAATGTCCCACCTTAGTTTTAAGCTCTGACAAAGACTTCTGTTTTCCGTTGTCATAGTAATCAACCCCCTTTCAATGTCCATAAACATAGTGGATTTTGTATCAATGGAGTTCTGCGGGCAGAATGAAATTCGCAGCGCAGTTTATCGATTAATTTCACTAGAAATATAATGAAGTGTGAATTCTTTTTGCATCCACTGGCGCAACACTAATAATGTGAACACTTTAAAATTAACTGCCATACAGCTTCCATTGTAGCACGGCAGAATGACGTCTGAGAAAGGGGTACGCAATGTGCATTTCACCACCAGGCACCAGTCTGGTAACATCTGAAAATGATGTTGCCTAAACGTCTTGACGTTGGCTTGATAAGCCTTTGTCTTATTATTAGATGCACTGGTGGTAATGAGAGGTGTGGGGCCTCCATTAGAGGGGCGTGTCCTCCTGCTTGGAGCCAGTGGGGTGACAAATGCTACAAGCAACTCAGCAAGGATCTACCATGGGTTAAGGCAAAACAGGAGTGCATCAAGATGGGAAGTGTCTTGGTCATGCCACAGTCTCAGGAGGAAACTGAGTTCCTTCAGAAGAACCTGATCGACAAGTTTTGGATCGACTGTAATGATCTTCAAGTTGAAGGTTTGTCAACTTCTATTTCTTAAACACTGACTGAATTCTATTTCCAAGTTGTTCACAAGAAACAATCTTTCTTTCCTTTTAGAAGGGAAAGTAATTTCATTATCAACATTTCAAACTTCAAAACATACATGCTTCTCAATTCTTAAAGCTCAAAGTAAAATTCAATCCAAATAAAACCGAACATTATTTTTCTCTGTGTGTGTCAGGTACATGGGTGTGTCAAGATGGCACTACTGATGTGGAGTACAGAAACTGGAGGGATGGTGAACCTAGTAATTTCGGGGGAGGAGAAGATTGTGTAGTAGCAAAAGAGGCTGGTTGGAATGACGCACCATGTGAGACTCATGTTCCCACTATCTGCAAACGACCTCCACCACAGCTGCACCTATAAAGGGCCCATGCAATGTAATGTTTTAGATGCAATCCTTGAAAATGCACCTTTGTGTCCCACTTAGCCTTATTTTGGGCCGTTTTTATGCTAATAAAAATTTACATATTCATGAACAGAAGTGTGATGTCATTGCAGGCAAAAACCTTCATTTCATCGTTATTTCAGCACCAAACGTTATCAGAATTGTGGGCATGTTGCGGTCCTAAATGTTCTTTTTTTTAATGATTCATTGCTATTTCAGTGCAAGACAGTAAACCGATGAGCAAACTTTTTCTCACAATGTTTCAGTACGCAAAAACTGTTTGAACAGAAAACCCCTAAACTGAAAAGTGTCTTCCTGAAATGACATTACACAAACAGTGCCTAATGTTTAAAGAAGGGTCCTTTTCAATAAAATAACAATATAAGAATGTCAAACAGTTTTCATGCATTTCTAAGATGTAAAAAGTTGCACAAACATGTTCCCATGTAACATTCATCTCATGATCTCATTATATGGCAATACAAATTTTGATTTCAAATCAAAAAGTAAAACTCACAAAGTTAGTTTTTTATTTAATCGTAATATTAAAGGTAACATGTAGAATGTTAAAATTGTACAGTCTAAACCACTGTGAAATTTTGGGCAACAATTTGTTTTTTAAAAATAGCTATGTTAATGGTAGTCGTTATAGAATACTTGAGAATATAGAATAATTTTGATGTGGAATTAACTCGTATTTTACTGTTTATTTATCTTTCTTTCAATTTCAGAGATTTCTAATTTTCATTTTAGTTCCCCACTTTCAATTTACATTGTTGCCTGGGCAATACGAGCCAATGTATCCATTGGCCACACAGATTTTTGCTTTCAAAATGTAAATGTAGCATTTGATTGTTAAGGAAGCTGACTGGCAAAAACTATTAAATTCTCCACTCTATAAAAGGGGCAATATTCATTACGGCTATCTGACTTGGTTTGACAGGAATTGTGATTAGTTCAAAACTTGTTAAGTTCTGCAAGTTTCCAAGGCAAAATCGGTACTACAAGTTTATTTCGGTCCAAAACTCAAAACAAAACTAGGGAAAAAAGAGTTAACTTTCATCAGACATTATTCTGGATTTCAAAGTATGTTCCTAGAAATAAGGTTGACTTGAGCCGCAAACTACCCATATTTCTATTTGTGTATAGCACTGTGAATGCATGGACACCTATATGATGTTTTTTGGTAGAATCCAAAAACAAAATTTAATTTGGCATTTCCTGATGAATCTACTCAATGCAGAACCGGTACCTTGTATATTCCAACCATGAGCATAAGCTTTCATCCGTGAAGCCATTTTTGAATTGTTTACATTACTTGTTGATTAATTTATTATATTTATTCATCGACTCATTTTGTGTTTGGTATTTTCAGCAATATTGAAATAAATGTATGAATAAATGAATACAACAGATTTTATGGACCGATGCTTGTAGTCATAGAAATCGTGGTAACCATGGCAATTCAAGTAAACAAGCATCGGAAATGTGTTATAAAGGCACACAGCAAAGGCTTGCTAACATATCCAATTGAAAAATTCTCTTTGTGTCCATTGGGGCAGAATAAATTTACGGCATCGTCAAGCGCAGTACTACAATAAAGGATTGATGACAAAATCACCCTTCATTTCACCACTGGGAACCAATCTGGTGACATCTGAAAATGATGTTGCCAAAACATCTTATCGTTGGCTTGATAAGCCTTTGTCTTATGATCAGATGCACTGGTGGTACTGAGAGGTGTGGGGCCTCCATTAGAGGGGCGTGTCCTCCTGCTTGGAACCAGTGGGGTGACAAATGCTACAAGCAACTCAGCGGGAAACTACCATGGGCTGAGGCAAAACAGGAGTGCATCAAGATGGGAAGTGTCTTGGTCATGCCACAGTCTCAGGAGGAAACTGAGTTCCTCCAGAAGAACCTGATCGACAAGTTTTGGATCGACTGTAATGATCAGCACGTTGAAGGTTTGTCAACTTATATTGCTTAAACATTGACTGACTTCCATTTCCAAATTGTTTAGAGGAAACAATGTTGCTTTCATTTTGGAAAGCAAAGTAATTTCATTATTAAAAGTTTCAAACGTCAAACATACATGAATCTTAAAGCTTCACAGTCAAATTCAAGCCCGATAAAACCTGACATGATATATTTCTGTGTGTGTCAGGTACATGGGTGTGTCAAGATGGCACTACTGATGTGGAGTACAGAAACTGGAAGGAGGGTCAACCTAGTAATCGCCAGGGAAAGGAAGATTGTGCAGTAGTGAGACCTGCTGGTGACTGGAATGATGTACCGTGTGACGATCTCTCTCCTGTCATCTGCCAACGACCAGCACCACAGCTGCACTTTTAAGTGTCAACAAAAAAATATGTACACAGTAATTTCTTTTCTTTTATTGTAAATTACATCCCTCAAAAAAGCAAGGTATCATGTAGAAAGTACTGTGAATATGCAATTAAACAATTCGGACAATCGCAAATTTTGGGCAAACAATTTTAAGAGATGAAAAACAATTTAAAATATAATACTCTAAATTATTGTTGATGCAAGAGGTACTTCTTATCGAATACTCAGTTCTAAACATTATACCTTTTTGTAATTTGTGCTTGTTGGAAAATAGTTTAACTTATTTTCCATATTATTTATTCATGAAGAATGCGTTGTCAACATAGGCAACTGAACCATTTGGACAATCACACCTTTTAAGGCGCACAATTTGAGATGATGAAAAAACAGTTCACCTTTTTTTTAAATCCTGGTAGTCCTCACAGAATACATGTATGAATGTTTCTTTTCTAATTTGTGCTTGTGGAGAATATTGTTAATTACTTTCAGTTTCAGAACTTTTCAATTTTCGTTTCGATTGGAAGATAATCTCAATTTGATTACATAAAATATTAAAATGAAAATCTGATGTTGCTGTATAGTCAAGTTATATACTCTTTTGCTATATCTTTGCTTGTGCAACACCTTTTTCTGATTTAATTATCTGATTTTTTTTAATTTCATAGATTTCTGTTTTCTCAAGTCCTTTTCTCACTGAAATTTTAAAACAAGATCAATTCTGTTCCAGTGTTAACTACATAACATGAACCTCGAACAAACAGAACAAATGTTAGGAAATACCTTATGCACCACCAAATACAACATAATATTAACGCTAAGTTGTGCACTAATTCTGTGGTATACAGAAATTACTTTTGTTGTTTAAACGTCTGTATTACTATTAAACGTTTTCATTTGGGATAACCAACAAAAATCTTGCAACTTCAGACAATGAATAAGCATTGGCATCCAGAGATTCAGGAAGCATTTAAAAATCCCACAAATGTTTCTCTTTTTTTCGGGGAGACGGGGGGTTAAAAACAATTGCTTGAATACGCCAATGGTCACATATGTTGTTCAAAATGACCTTCGCCATCCTTTTGTATTGGTGGGCAAACTTACAAAGAAAGACGAAATATTGCCAAAGAAGCCTACCCAACTTTCACCAAAATTGGCGTAGTGTAGATCACGTGACTTCCCCTCAAGAATTACTGGCGTTTTGTCTATGTACAATTTAAACACTAAATATGCACAATGTTTGTGCTGTCTGGCCTGAGGCATTGAAGTCAATCAAGCAATCTGAAACCTTTTAAATTTGGTCAACCACTTGATTAGCTTCTCAGTGTAGTAATGACATGTCACACACAAAGAAAGAAGCAGTAATTAGCGACCCAGTTTGAAGCAGGCTTCATAACGGTGAGTCAATCTTCATTAACTGATACAACAAATCTAAGATGAAATGCCTTGACTGATACAACGCACTAAAGACTAGCTGCACACCATCAATCAAAACTCCAATTGAAGGGCGAGTGTCAAATTAAACGAAATACTAACAACCCAAAGCAATCTAGTGAGATCACTGCTGAAATCATCTACCAGTCAGTAACTCAGCCAGTCACTTGATACAAAGTAAAAAATAACGATCCAGCAAAAGAAGTGGAGCGTTAATCACCAATTGCAGAAGCTTCATAACAGCGAGTCCATCTTCATAAACTGAAATAACAAATCTCTGATGAAGTCTGTTGGCCGATATAATGCATTGAGGATGAGTTGGGTCAAGCCAATATATAACTTGACACATTTATTCAAAAGACTCAACTTGAAGGGCAGGTTTAATATTGGAAGAAAATATTGACGGTAGCTCTTGATGAGCATAATAGCCCCGGCAATAATAAGGTACAAACAGTAGCTGACAGTGAGAGCGTAGCTTCATATCTACACTGAGCACTAGTGAGGTAACATCTTGAAATGATGTTGCCAAAACGTCTCATCGTTGGTTTGATAAGCCTTTGTCTTGTGATCAGATGCACTGGTGGTAATGAGAGGTGTGGAGCCTCCATTAGAGGGGCGTGTCCTTCTGCTTGGAGCCAGTGGGGTGACAAATGCTACAAGCAACTCAGCGAGAATCTACCATGGGCTGAGGCAAACCAGGAGTGCATCAAGATGGGAAGTGTCTTGGTCATGCCACAGTCTCAGGAGGAAACTGAGTACCTTGTGAAGAACATGATCTACTACTTTTGGATCAACTGCAGTGATCTTCAAGTTGAAGGTTTGCAAACTTATATTGCTTATTTTTAACTGAATTCCATTCAGAAATTGTTCACAGGAAAAATGTTGCTTTCCTTTTGGGAAGCAAAGTAATTTCATTATTAAAAGTTTCAAACGTCAAACGTATGATTCTCAATTCTTAAAGCTTTACAGTGAAATTTAAGCCGAATTAAACCTGACATTACATATTATCTGTTTTAGTCAGGTACATGGGTGTGTCAAGATGGCACTACTGATGTGGAGTACAGAAACTGGAGGGATGGTGAACCTAGTAATGGCGGGGGAAAAGAAGATTGTGCAGTAGTGAATCCTTCTGGTGATTGGAATGATGTACCATGTGATCATCCGATTCCCACTATCTGCCAACGATCTGCACCACAACTGCACTTTTAAGTGACAACAAACAACCGACTTGTCATAAAAACATAATTCATTTTCTTTTATTGTAAATTACATCCCCCAGAAAAGCAAGGCATCCTATAGACAGTACTGTGAATATGCAATTGAACAAAGTCAATTTGGACACTCGCAAACTTTGGGCAAACACTTTCAGCAAATGAATAACAATTTACAAATGTAATAATCAAACAATTGTTAATGCATGTGGTACTCTTCAGAGGATACTTAGTGCTAAGCATGTATCTTTTCAATGTGTGCTATTTGGAAAATACTTTCACTTTTTGCTCTGCAATTTTTCACAGAGAACGAATGTATGCAATTGAACCACTTGGACAATTACAAAATTTGGGCATACAATTTGAGATGATGAAAAACAATGTTTTAAAAAGATAAAAATATATATGGTGGTGGTCGTCACAGAATACATGTATGAATGTATTTTTTTTTTATTTGTAATGGTGGAAAATATTTTAATTATATGTTTATTTTATTTAGTTACAGAACTTTTCAATTTTCGTTTCCTGTTCTAAGAATAGTCTCCTTTGGTAATGTAATTAGGCTACAATTGGATGGCATGTAATAAATGAAAATATGAAGCTGCAGTATTTAGTCAAGACTTAGTTATTTGTTATATCTTTGGTTATGGAGCATTTTTCTCAGAATGTTTTCTCTAATTCTTTCAATTTCACCTTCTTTCAAGTCTTTTGCACATTTTCATTTTAAATAACATCAGTTCTGTTACAGTGTTAACTTGGTAATATGAACCCAATGCATTATAAACTGACATTGCTACTATAGGAATACATATGTGCTTAGCCGTTTTTAAGCACGTATGTTATAACCAGATAGGGAACTTGTTACCGGTTTGAACGTACTTCTTTAAAACCGGCCAAGCAAATATTAATTCCCATTTCGTAAATACCTTTCAGTCAAAAAAATTCAAAACAAGTCAAACATTTACAAATTTCCAACGATTTTGTTCAACAATTTACTTCATGTTTTGTTGGGGAAAAAACCCTCTGGCCATGTTATAGTATGTGCCTCGCACGCGTGTTGCTAAAAACAGATACAATATAATCATTTTTGGATTAACAGCATTGTCATTGAGAAGGGACAGGATATTTATTGTCATTGATTTATCCAAAAAGTAGGCCAAGTTTATCAGTATCATGATCACGTTCTCAACAACCAGATATTACCAACCAAATATTATGCGAGATGCAATTAAATTGACTTGCAATGTCCCACCTTAGAAAGCTCTGACAAAGACTTCTGTTTTCCGTTGTCATAGTAACCAACCCCCTTTCAATGTCCATGAACATAGTGAATTTTGTATCAATGGAGTTCTGCAGGCAGAATGAAATTCGCAGCGCAGTTTATCGATTAATTTCACCAGAAATATATGAAGTGTGAATTCTTATTGTATCCACTGGCGCAACATTAATAATGTGAACACTTTAAAATTAACTGCCATACATCTTCCAATGCAGCACTGCAAAAAGACATCTGATGAGAAGGGGGTACGCAATGCGCATTTCACATCCAGGCACCAGTCTGGTAACATCTGAAAAAGATGTTGCCTAAACGTCTCGTCATTGGCTTGATAAGCCTTTGTCTTATGATCAGATGCACTGGTGGAAATGAGAGGTGTGGGGCATCCATTAGAGGGGCGTGTCCTCCTGCTTGGAGCCAGTGGGGTGACAAATGTTACAAGCAACTCAGCGAAAATCTACCATGGGCTGAGGCAAACCAGGAGTGCATCAAGATGGGAAGTGTCTTGGTCATGCCACAGTCTCAGGAGGAAACTGAGTACCTTGTGAAGAACATGATCTACTACTTTTGGATCGACTGCAGTGATCTTCAAGTTGAAGGTTTGTCAACTTCTATTGTTTTAACAACGAATGAATTCTATTTTCCAAGATTTTCATAGCAAACAATTCTTCTCTCCTTTTGGAAAGGAAAAAAAATCATTATTAACATTTCAAACTTCAAACAATCATGGTTCTCATTTTTAAGGCTTCATTGTAAACATCTAACCAAATAAAAAACAGACATTAATATTCTCTGTGTGTCAGGTACATGGGTGTGTCAAGATGGCACTACTGATGTAGAGTACAGAAACTGGAAGGATGGTGAACCGAGTAATAGCGGAGGAAGAGAAGATTGTGCAGCAGTGGGAAAATCTGGTTGGAATGACGTTCCATGTGACGATCTCGCTCCTGTTATCTGCCAACGACCTGCACCACAGCTGCACTTTTAAGTGTCAACAAAAACACTGACTGCTCATCAAAAAATAAGTACACATAGTAATTTCTTTTCTTTTATTGTAAATTATATCTCTCAAAAAAGCAAGGTATCATGTAGACAGTACTGTGATTATGCAACTGAACAATTTAAGGCAATCGTACATTTTGGGCAAACAATTTTAGAAGATGAAAAACAATTTTAAAATATAATAATAAAAAAGATTGCTGAGGCATGAGGTACTCCTTATTGAATCCTTTAGTTCTAAACTAATGTCTTTTTGTAATTTGCGCTTGTTGGAAAATAGTTTCACTTATCTGTATTTTTCATTCACGAAAAATGTGTTGTCAACATATGCAACTGAACTGCTGAGACAATCACAAAATTTGGGCAAACAATTCGACGTAATGAAAAAAAAAGAACTTTTTTGTTTTAATAGTAGTCCTCATAGAATACATTGTGTGAATGTATCTATTTTAATTTGTGCTTGTGGAAATATTTTAAAATAAGTCTTTGTTTCGTTCAGTTTTAAAACTTTTAAATTTCTTTTCCTTTTGTAAGATAGGCCTTATCTCAATGTAGTAAAACAAGTACATTTAAAACAAGCTAAGGACCTGGCCACCAGTTTACAACCGGCCAGCAGATATTTTTATTCCCATTTCATTAATATCTGTCAGTCGGAAATTCAAATCAAGTCAAAAATTTACAAACTAGGCAAAACTTTCACTTTATAGTTATTTCAGCACCAAACGTTATCAGAATTGTGGACATGTTGCGGTCCTAAATGTTCTTTTCTTTGATGATTTGTTGCTATTTCAGTACAAGACAGTAAGCCGATGAGCAAACTTTTTCACAATGTTTCAGTACGCAAAAACTGTTTGAAAGTGTCTTCCTGAAATGACATTACACAAACAGTGCCTAAAGTTTAAAGAAGGGTCCTTTTCAATAAAATAACAATATAAAAATGTCCAACAGTTTTCATGCATTTCTAAGATGTAAAAAGTTGCACAAACATGTTCCTGTGTAAAATTCATCTCATGGTCTCTTTATATGGCAATACAAATTTTGATTTCTAATCAAAAAGTAAAACTCACAAAGTTAGTTATTTATTTAATTAAATAAATATTAAAGGTAACGTGTAGAATGTAAAAATTGTACAGTCTGAACCACTGTAAAATTTTGGGCAACAATTTGTTTTTTAAAAATAGCTACGTTGATAGTAGTCCTTATAGAATACTTGAGAATATAGAATAGTTTTGATGTGGAATTAACTTGTATTTTACTATTTATTTATCTTTCTTTCAATTTCAGAGATTTCCAATTTTCATTTAAGTTCCTCACTTTCAATTTACAGTATTTCCTGGGCACTACGAGCCAATGTATCAATTGACCACACAGATTTTTGCTTTCAAAATGTAAATGTAGCATTTGATTGTTTATGAGGAAGCTGACTGGCAAAAATTATTAACTTCTCCACTCCAAAAAAGGGGCAATATTCATTAGGGCTATCTGACTTGGTTTGACAGGAATTGTGATTATTTCAAAACTTGTTCGGTTCTGGGTCAAAGGCAAAAACAGGACTTTAAGTCCATTTCAGTCCAAAAGTGAAAGTGAAAAAAAGAGGAAAAAAAATACAGAAAAAAACTTGTATCAGATATTATGCTGGATTTCAAAGTATGTTCCTGGAAATAAAGTTTGACTTGTCTCGTAAACTACCAATATTTTAATGTGTGTATAGTACTCAGAATGCATGGACACCTTTATGATGTTTTTGGGTAGAATCCAAAAAACAAATTTGGCATTTTCTGATGACTCTACAAAACGCAGTATCGGAACCTTGTATATTCCAACCATGAGCCTACGCCTCCATTCAATTCTTTGGATCGATGCTTACAGTTGGCCTTCGCTTTTATAAACAAGCAAGTATTTTTGAAAGGAAGTGCTCTGAATGGAGATGAAATTGTCGTAACCATGGTATTTCAGGTAAATATCAATACCAGATGCGTGCTGCAAAGGCACGTAGGCTTGCTAACTTGTCCAATTAAGAAATTCTTTTTGTGTCCATTGGGGCAGAATAAATAAAGAGAGTAGTTAATGAAAAGAAAATATTGACTGCATTGTCAAGCTCACTACTGCAATCATCGATTGATGAGAGAAAAGAATCTTCATTTCACTACTGGGCACCAGTCTGGTAACATCTGAAAAAGATGTTGCCTAAACGTCTCATTGTTGGCTTGATAAGCCTTTGTCTTATGATCAGATGCACTGGTGGTAATGAGAGGCGTGTGGCCTCCATTAGGGGGCGTGTCCTCCTGCTTGGAGCCAGTGGGGTGACAAATGCTACAAGCAACTCAGCAAGGATCTACCATGGGCTGAGGATAAACAGGAGTGCATCAAGATGGGAAGTGTCTTGGTCATGCCACAGTCTCAGGAGGAAACTGACTTCCTTCAGAAGAACCTGGCCCCCTACTTTCGGATCAACTGTAATGATCTTCAAGTTGAAGGTTTGTCATCTTATATTGCTTTAACAATGAATAAATTCTATTTTCCAAGATATTCATATGAAACCATTTTTCTCTCTTTCTGGAAAGGAAAGTCATTTCATTATTAACATTTCAAACTTCAAACAAACATGGTTCTCACGTCTTCAATTCCAACCAAATAAAACCAGTTATTTATATTCTGTGTGTGTGTGTCAGGTACATGGGTGTGTCAAGATGGCACTACTGATGTGGAGTACAGAAACTGGAGGGAGGAGACTGATGAACCTAATAATAATGGGGGAGGAGAAGATTGTGCAGTAGCAGACGAAACTGGTTGGAATGATGTACCATGTGAGAATCACGTTCCCACTATTTGCAAACGATCTGCACCACAACTGCACTTTTAAATGGCAACAAAAAAACTCACTCCTCACAAAAAGTAAAGCTCACAAACCAACTTAATTAATTAAATAAATAAAAATGAAGGAAATCATGTAGAAAGCATTGTGAATAGGCAATTGAACTCTTTGAACCATCGTAGCTTTTGGGAAAAAAAAACAATTGGAAAAAAAAGTTTTGTTGTTGGTAGTCCTTAGACAATACTTGAGAAACAAAATGTGGAAACAATTCTTTTTTATTTATTTATTAATATCTTTGTTCATTTTCACAGATTTTCAATTTAGTTCCTCATTTTCAATATCCAGTGTTGCCTGGACGACCAATGTATCAAGTGGCCACACAGATTTTTGCTTTTAAATTTGAATTTAATTTTGAATTCATTTGTTTTCCTTTCCAAGCTTTGAGAGATCACACTGATCACATAATATTTATCACAAAAAAATCAAACATAAAATGGATTATGTACAATGTAGTTGTTGAAGTGTTCTGAATAATTAATCAATTAAATCATTGGGGCAATTGGATATTTGGTAGCAATGCAACAAACGGTTAACATAACAATATGCAAAATCTGATGCTGCAGTACTTAGTCCAAGGGTACAAAATACTACAAGTCAAATATCTTTGCTTGTGGAGCCATGTTTTTCTGAGTTAGTAGAATAATTCTTTCAATTCTTTATCTCACTTTTAATTTCAGCCAAATCAGTATACTGTGAGTGTTACATGTACCTTGATAGTATGAACCTACCGGTCGTCTTGGTACAAAACCAGACTTGGATTTTTATTCGCCGTATAGTACAGCCCGTCCGTGACAAGCAAGGTCAATACCAACAAGATGAATCAAATCCAGTCTTTGCAATATTGGCAGCGCTACCCAGGGCATTCCGACCATACCGCATGCACGCTGTATTCAAGCTAATGCATGCATGTGAGGTATGCTCGGAATACCCTGGGTAGCGCTGCCAATATTTTCAAGACTGGATTTGATTCATGTTGTTGATAGAGACCTCCACCACTGCCGCAACTTAACCGCGTTTGTCACGGGACTGGCTGCAAAATAAGGGAATAAAAAAACCACCTCAGTCTTGGATCAAGACTAGTATGAACCTAATCCATGAAGATGGGTACCATGATTTAATACACATGTTTTTTTTAGATTACCAACTGAATTGTCACACTGTATTGTTGTTAACATTTTCAATCTAATTTAGACTCAAATTGTTGAAAAATAACAAGTTCTATTGTACAAAGCTATACTTTTTCAGTTAAATATAAGACATATATAATAACGCATAATTCCTTTTTTGACTAATGTCCATTTTTAGTGCAGTTGATCATTTGTGTAGGCTTTGTGACTTTTAAATGCACAACTTTTATTTTTGCTGAAATTCACAGCATATTTGTACTAAACAGTTGTTCTTTTTGCTCGATGTTGTCTTTGCTCTATTTGTGGTTAATAAAGTCGGAGATGAAACTCTTGCACTGGTACAATGCTTCATGAGGAGTTGTGCGTCGCCCGTGAGTTTTGGGCCTAAACTTTGGATTAAAATACATCTCCAGATTATTGGCATTGATGACTGAGGGAGGCGGTTTATTCATGTTGAATTGTTGATGGATAAATGCTTGGACTGTAGATCTTACTATTGGTAGTATGTCCGTGGTATGAGAACTGGCAAGGCCTTCTATGTGATCTTGTTTGTATCATGAGGGTATACAGGAACTTACAGGAGCTCTATAACTTCACAACATACCACTAAGATATTCAGCATCATGAAATATATTTTTATGAATTTTTGGTTAGAATCCAATGATCAATTTGGCATTTTCTGATGACTCTGCAAAATGCAGTACATGTACCTTGTATATTCAAACCATGAGCCCTATACCTCTCCATTCGTCGAGCAATAAAAAAGATTATATCGATCAATATTCAGCCTCCATTTTCAAATAAGCCACTTCATTGTTTTGTATGTGGTCTGTATAGACGTGAAATTATGGTATCCATTGCAATTCCAGTAAATAAGAATTAGATACGTGTTTCAAATTCACATGGAAAAGGATAGCTAATGCATCCAATTGAAACATTCTCTTTGCTACATTGGGGCAGAATAAATTCACGGCACGTCAAGCGCTTTTAAACTACAATAAAGCATAGATGACAATATTACCCATCATTTCACCACTGGGAACCAGTCTGGTAACATCTAATAAAGATGTTGTCTAAACGTCTCATCATTGGCTTGATAAGCCTTTGTCTTATGATCAGATGCACTGGTGGTAATGAGAGGTGTGGGGCCTCCATTAGGGGGGCGTGTCCTCCTGCTTGGAGCCAGTGGGGTGACACATGCTACCAAAAACTGAAAGAGAAACTACCATGGGCTGAGGCAAAACAGGATTGCATCAAGATGGGAAGTGTCTTGGTCATGCCACAGTCTCAGGAGGAATCTAAATTTCTTCAGAACAACATGCACAGCCGGTTTTGGATCAACTGTAGTGATCTTCACGTTGAAGGTTTGTCAACTTATATTGCTAAAACACTGACTGACTTCCATTTCCAAATTGTTTAGAGGAAACAATGTTGCTTTCATTTTGGAAAGCAAGTAATTTCATTATTAAACGTTTCAAACGTCAAACGTATGATTCTCAATTCTTAAAGCTTTACAGTGAAATTTAAGCCCAATTAAACCTGACATAACATATTATCTGTGTGTGTCAGGTACATGGGTGTGTCAAGATGGCACTACTGATGTGGAGTACAGAAACTGGAGGGAGGGTGAACCTAATAATGGCGGGGGAAGAGAAGATTGTGCAGCAGCGGGAAAATCTGGTTGGAATGATGTTCAATGTGAGGATCTCTCTCCTGTTATCTGCCAACGACCAGCACCACAACTGCACTTTTAAGTGACAACAAACAACCGACTTGTCATAAAAACATAACACTTCATTTTTCTTTTATTGTAAATTACATCCCTCAGAAAAGCAAGGCATCCTATAGACAGTACTGTGAATATGCAATTGAACAAAGTCAATTTGGACACACACAAACTTTGGGCAAACACTTTCAGAAAATGAATAACAATTTACAAATGTAATAATCAAACAAATGTTAATGCATCTGGTACTCTTCAGAGGATACTTAGTCCTAAGCATGCATCTTTTTAATGTGTGCTATTTGGAAAATAGTTTCACTTTTTGCTCTGCAATTTTTCACAGAGAACGATTATGTGCAACTGAACCACTTGGACAATTACACAATTTGGGCATACAATTTGAGATGATGAAAAACAGTTTTTTAAAAAGATAATTATGTTGGTAGTCCTCACAGAATACATGTAGGAATGTATCTTCTTCTTTCTTTAAATTTGTACTGGTGGAAAATAGTTTAATTATATGTTTATTTTATTTAGATACAGAACTTTTCAATTTTCGTTATAAGATAATCTCAATCGGAAATGTAACAATTTGATGGCATGAAATAAATGAAAATCTGATGCTGCAGTATTTAGTCAAGACTTAGTTATTTGTTATATCTTTGCTTATGGAGCACCTTTCTCAGAATTTTTTGTGTAATTCTTTCAATTTTACCTTCTTTCAAGTCTTTTTCTCATTTTCATTTTAAATAACATCAGTTCTGTTACAGTGTTAACTTGGTAATATGAACCCAATGCATTCACTGATATAGCTACTAAGAGAATAAATATGTGCTTGGCCGTTTTTAACCAAGTACGTTCAATACCAGCTAGGGAACTGGTCACCAATTTTGAACGTACTTGTTTAAAACCATCCAAGCAGATATTTATTCCTATTTCATGAATACCTTTCGGTCAAAAATTCAAAGCAAAAGATTCACAAATTTCCAACAATTTTGTTCAACAATTTACTTCATGTTTTTTTAAACACCCCACTGGCCATGTCTATAGTATGCGCGTCGCGCGTGGTGCCAAAAACAGATACGTTTTATTTTTTAATAGCATTGGCATTGAGAAGGGACAGCATATTTAATGTCATTGATTTATCAAAATATAAGTAGGCCAAGGTTATCAGTATCATGATCACGTTCTGAACAACCAGATATTACCAACCAAATATTACGCGAGATGCAATTAAATTGACTTGCAATGTCCCACCTTAGAAAGCTCTGACAAAGACTTCTGTTTTCCGTTGTCATAGTAACCAACCCCCTTTCAATGTCCATAAACATAGTGAATTTTGTATCAATGGAGTTCTGCGGGCAGAATGAAATTCGCAGCGCAGTTTATCGATTAATTTCACTAGAACATGAAGTGTGAATTCTTTTTGTATCCACTGGCGCAACACTAATAATGTGAACACTTTAAAATTAACTGCCATACAGCTTCCATTGTAGCACTGCAGAATGACGTCTGAGAAAGGGGTACGCAATGCGCATTTCACCACCAGGCACCAGTCTGGTAACATCTGAAAAAGATGTTGCCTATACGTCTTGTCGTTGGCTTGATAAGCCTTTGTCGTGTGATCAGATGCACTGGTGGTAATGAGAGGTGTGGGGCCTCCATTAGAGGGGCGTGTCCTCCTGCTTGGATCCAGTGGGGTGACAAATGCTACAAACAAGGCAGTGAAGATCTACCATGGCTTGAGGCAACACAGGAGTGCATCAAGATGGGAAGTGTCTTGGTCATGCCACAGTCTCAGGAGGAAACTGAGTTTCTTCTGAAGAACCTGAACGACAAGTTTTGGATAAACTGCAATGATCTTCACGTTGAAGGTTTGTCAACTTATATTTCTTTAACACTGACTGAATTCTGTTTCCAAGTTGTTCACAATCTTTCTTTCCTTTTGGAAGGGAAACTAATTTCATTATCAACATTTCAAACTTCAAAACATACATGCTTCTCAATTCTTAAAGCTCAAAGTAAAATTCAATCCAAATAAAACCACTCATAAGCATTCTCTGTGTGTGTGTTAGGTACATGGGTGTGTCAAGATTGCACTACTGATGTGGAGTACAGAAACTGGAGGGTGGAGCCTGCTGAACCTAATAATTTCGAGGGAGGAGAAGATTGTGCAGTAGCAAAAGAGACTGGTTGGAATGATGTACCATGTGAGACTCATGTTCCCACTATCTGCAAACGACCTGCACCACAGCTGCACCTATAAAGGGCCCATGTAATGTAATGTTTTGGATGCAATCCTCGAAAATGCACCTTTGTGTCCCACTTAGCCTTATTATGGTCCGTTTTTATGCTAATGCAAATTTACATATTCATAAGCAAAAGTTTGATGTCATTTCAGGCAGAAACCTCCATTTTATTGCTATTTCAGCAACCAAACGTTACCAGAATTGTGGACATGTTGCGGTCCTAAATGTTCTTTTCTTTGATGATTCATTGCTATTTCAGTTCAAGACAGTAAGCCAATGAGCAAACTTTCGCACAAATATTTCGGTACGCAAAAATGTTTTGGGTCACAATTGGAACAGAAATCCCCTAAAACTTACACAAACAGTGCCTAATGTTTAAGAAGGGTCCTTTTCAATAAAATAACAATATAAGAATGTCAAACAGTTTTCATGCATTTCTAAGATGTAGAAAGTTGCACAAACATGTTCCCGTGTAACATTCATCTCATGGTCTTCTTATATGGCAATACAAATTTTGATTTCTAATCAAAAAGTAAAACTCACAAAGTTAGTTATTTATTTAATGAAATAAAATTTAAAGGTACCATGTAGAAGGTAAATTGTACAGTTTAAACCACTGTAAGATATTGGGCAAAAATTTGGTTTTCTTTAAATAGCCACGTTGATGGTAGTCCTTATAGAACACTAGAGAATTTACGATAATTTTGCTGTGGAATTAACTCTTGTTTTACTATTTATTTATTTTTCTTTCAATTTCAGAGATTTTAAATTTTCATTTTAGTTCCTCATTTCAACTAACAGTGTTGCCTGGGCAATACGAGCCAATGTATCAATTGGCCACACAGATGTTTGCTTTCAAAATGTAAATGTAGCATTTGATTGTTAAGGAAGCTGACTGGCAAAAATTATTAACTTCTCCACTCCAAAAAAATGGGCAATATTCATTAGGGCTATATGACTTGGTTTGACAGGAATTGTGATTAGTTCAAAACTTGTTCGGTTCTGGGTCCAAGGCAAAAACAGGACTTTAAGTCCATTTCAGTCCAAAAGTGAAAGTGAAAAAAAGAGGAAAAAAATACAGAAAAAAACTTGTATCAGATATTTTGCTGGATTTCAAAGTATGTTCCTGGAAATAAAGTTTGACTTGTCTCTTAAACTACCAATATTTTAATGTGTGTATAGTACTCAGAATGCATGGACACCTTTATGATGTTTTTGGGTAGAATCCAAAAACAAATTTGGCATTTTCTGATGACTCTACAAAACGCAGTATCGGAACCTTGTATATTCCAACCATGAGCCTACGCCTCCATTCAATTCTTTGGATCGATGCTTACAGTTGGCCTTCGCTTTTATAAACAAGCAAGTATTTTTGAAAGGAAGTGCTCTGAATGGAGATGAAATTGTCGTAACCATGGTATTTCAGGTAAATATCAATAACAGATGCATGCTGCAAAGGCACGTAGGCTTGCTAACTTGTCCAATTAAGAAATTCTTTTTGTGTCCATTGGGGCAGAATAAATAAAGAGAGTAGTTAATGAAAAGAAAATATTGACTGCATTGTCAAGCTCACTACTGCAATCACCGATTGATGAGAGAAAAGAATCTTCATTTCACTACTAGGCACCAGTCTGGTAACATCTGAAAAAGATGTTGCCAAAACGACTCATCATTGGCTTGATAAGCCTTTGTCTTATGATCAGATGCACTGGTGGTAATGAGAGGTGTGGAGCCTCCATTAGAGGGGCGTGTCCTCCTGCTTGGAGCCAGTGGGGTGACAAATGCTACAAGCAACTCAGCAAGAATCTACCATGGGCTGAGGCAAAACAGGAGTGCATCAAGAAGGGAAGTGTCTTGGTTGTGCCACAGTCTCAGGAGGAAACTGAGTTTCTTCAGAACAACATGCACAGACAGTTTTGGATCAACTGTAGTGATCTTCAAGTTGAAGGTTTGTCAACTTATATTTCTTAAACATTGACTGAATTCTATTTCCAAGTTATTCGCAAAAAAAACCAATTTTTCTCTCCTTTTGGAAAGGAAAGACATTTTATTATTATTTTTTCAAACTTCAAACAAACATTGTTTTCATGTCTTAAAGCTTCACAGTAAAAATCTAACCAAATAAAACCAAACAATTGTATTCTCCGTGTGTGTTAGGTACATGGGTGTGTCAAGATGGCACTACTGATGTGGAGTACAGTAACTGGAAGACGGGTGAACCTAATAATGCTAAAGGAATAGAAGACTGTGCAGTAGTGACAGCTAGCGGTGATTGGAATGATGTACCATGTAATGGAGACTCTCCTGTCATCTGCCAACGACCAGCACCACAGCTACACTTTTAAGTATAAACAAATGAATGCTTATCAAAAAAAAAAAAACATAATAAGCACACATTGGTATCTATTGTCTTAAGTTGTAAATCGTATCCCTCGAAATAGCACATTATCATGTCTAAAGTATTCTGAATATGCAACTAAACAATTCGGACAATCACAAATTTGGGGCAATTTTAGAAGATAAAAAAACAATTTTAAAATAGAATAATAAAAAGATTGTTGATGCATGAGGTACTCCTTATTAAATGCTTAGTTCTAAACTATCTCTTTTTGTAATTTGTGCTTGTTGAAAAATAGTTTCACTTAATTTTCTGTATTTTTATTTCACTGTGAACATATTGTGAGTATATCCAATTTAACCACTTGGACAATCACAAAATCTGAGTGCACAGTTTGAGATGATGAAAAAACAATGAATTTTTGTTTTTGTTTTCAATCCTATTCGTAGTCCTCACAGAATACATGTATGAATGAATCTTTGTTCATTTGTGCGCGTGGACAATATTTTTAATTACATATTTATTTATTTCAGTTTCAGAACTTTTCAGTTTTCGTTTCCTTTTGTAAGATAATCTCAATTTGAAATGTAACAATTCGATGACATGAAATAAATGAAAAGCTGATGCTGCAGTATTTAGTGAAGTTATATATTGAGTCTTATGTTATATCTTTGCTTGTCAAGTGCCTTTTTCTGAATTGTTTGTCTGATTCTTTCAATTTCACACATTTTTTTCTTGTCTTTTTCTCACTTTCATTATAACCACATCAGTTCTGTTACAGTGTTAACTTGGTAATATGAACCCAATGCATTCACTGATATAGCTACTAAGGGAATAAATACGTGCTTGGCCGTTTTTAAGCAAGTACGTTCAATACCAGCTAGGGACCTGGTCACCAATTTTGAACGTACTTGTTTAAAACCATCCAAACATCTATTTATTCCCATTTCATGAATACTTTTTGGTCAAAAAAATTCAAAGCAAGTCAAAAATTCACTAATTTCCAACAATCTTGTTCTACAATTTACTTCATGTTTTGTGAAACATCCCTTTGGTCATGTCTATAGTATGGGCCACACGCGCCTGGTGCTAAAACAAATATTTATTGTCATTGATATATCCAAAAAGGAGGCCAAGGTTATAAGGATCATGATCACGTTCTGATTATGATCACGAGATGCAATTAAATTGACTTGCAATGTCCCACCTTAGTTTTAAGCTCTGACAAAGACTTCTGTTTTCCGTTGTCATAGTAATCAACCCCCTTTCAATGTCCATAAACATAGTGAATTTTGTATCAATGGAGTTCTGCGGGCAGAATGAAATTCGCAGCGCAGTTTATCGATTAATTTCACTAGAAATATATGAAGTGTGAATTCTTTCTGTATCCACTGGCGCAACACTAATAATGTGAACACTTTAAAATTAACTGCCATACAGCTTCCATTTTAGCACTGCAGAATGACGTCTGAGAAAGGAGTACGCAGTGCGCATTTTACCACCAGGCACCAGTCTGGTAACATCTGAAACAGATGTTGCCTAAACGTCTTGTCGTTGGCTTGATAAGCCTTTGTCTTATGATCAGATGCACTGGTGGTAATGAGAGGTGTGGGGCCTCCATTAGAGGGGCGTGTCCTCCTGCCTGGAGCCAGTGGGGTGACAAATGCTACAAGCAACTCAGCGAGAATCTACCATGGGCTGAGGCAAAACAGGAGTGCATCAAGATGGGAAGTGTCTTGGTCATGCCACAGTCTCAGGAGGAAACTGAGTTTCTTCAGAGCCGGTTTAGTCCTCGGTTTTGGATTGACTGCAATGATCTTCAAAGGGAAGGTACGTACAAAGTAAATTCGGTAGAGATCCCTCCTTTTCCACCTACTACAAGTATAGACACCAGAACTTTGAGACATTGGAAAAAGTTGAAAGAGTTCATATTCTGTCGATGCATTTCACACAAAGTTTATATTCTACAATACTTTTATAGGTTCATGGAAGTGTCAGAATGGTCAGAGCATAACCTCTAGGAACTGGGAACTTGGTCAACCAGATAATGCCAAGGCATACAGCAACGCTGGAGAGGATTGTGCCGTCGTCTGGACGACCACAGGCCAATGGAATGACTTCCCCTGCAAACGGGAACAATCCGCAATGTGCACGAAGCCTGCACCCAACTACACCTTTGAAACTTACAGTGGAAAACCATCACCCAAAAACAGAGACACTCTCAATCCGACTTTCATTGTTGTTCTACAATCAGCAAAAATCACGAAGACAAAAACGATTCAGTTATCTTGCAAGACGTTTGTTAGTCAGTTTGAACACATCCATAATACCATATTCTGCCATGCAGTCATTTGAAAAGCCTGCAGGACACACTCTTGAAACAAATCTAAATATTACATCTCAAAAGACCTCTATTAGCTACAGCCTAGTGAAAAATGACAAAGTAGTAGCTCAAACAGGAAAATAATTCCCAATAGGAAGAAGAATGACAGTGTGAACATACTTGATCTTTTAGTGTTGCTATAAATGAGCAATTTCACTTCTGCAATTTAACATGGAAGAATGGTACCTAAAGATTCTCAGACAGATAATTCTGTAGTATAGAGAAATTACTGCTCTTATTTAACCTTCTGTTTCACTATTTGGTGGAGTTGATCACTTGTATATATAGGCTAAACATCTAAATACTTTGAATGCACAGCATCATTTTGTTAAAATAATTTCTGCAATTATTTTTCTCTTTGTTCAATGTTTTATTTTATTTTTTGTTTTGGTAAAAAAAAGTCGGAGATGAATCTCTTGCATTGGTACAATGCTTCATGAAGAGTTGTGCGTCGTCCATGAGTTTTGGCCTAAACTTTGGATTAAAATACATCTCCAGATTATTGGCATTGATGACCGAGGGAGGCTGTTTATTTGTGTTGAATTGTTGATGGACAAATGCTTGTACTGTAGATCTAACTATTGGTAGTATGTCGGTGGTATGAGAACTGGCGAGGCCTTCTATGTGATATTGTTTGTATCATGAGGGTATACAGGAACTGACAGGAGCTGTATAACTTCACAACATATCAATCAGATATTCAGCATACGATTTTTTTTGGTTAGAGAAACCAATGATAAATTTGGAATTTTCTGTTGAGCCTGTAAAATGCAGTACATAAACCTTGTACATGTATATTCAAACCATATGCCCTACTTCTCCATTCATGGAGCAACAAAAAAGATTCCATGAATCAATATTCAGCCTTCACTTTCTAAAAAGCCACTAATCTTTACTTTATGTGGTCTGTATAGAAATGAAATTATGGTAACCTTGGCAATTCCAGTAAATAAGAATCGGATACGTGTTTCAAATTCACATAGGAAAGGCTAGCCAATGTGTCCAATTGAAATATTCTCTTTGTGTGCATTGGGGCAGAATAAATTGAAGGCACGTCAAGCGAGCTAAACTACCATATAGGATAGATGACAATAACACCCTTCATTTCACCACTCGTTACCATTCCGGTAACATCTGAAAAAGATGTCTGAACGTCTCATCTTTGGCTTGATAAGCCTTTGTCTTATGATCAGATGTACTGGTGGTAATGAGAGGTGTGGGGCCTCCATTAGAGGGGCGTGTCCTCCTGCTTGGAGCCAGTGGGGTGACAAATGCTACAAGAAACTCAGCGAGAAACTACCATGGGCTGAGGCAAAACAGGAGTGCATCAAGATGGGAAGTGTCTTGGTCATGCCACAGTCTCAGGAGGAAACTGAGTTTCTTCAGAACAACATGTACAGCCGGTTTTGGATCAACTGTAATGATCTTCACGTTGAAGGTTTGTCAACTTATATTGCTAAAATATTGACTGACTTCCATTTCCAAATTGTTTAGAGGAAACAATGTTGCTTTCATTTTGGAAAGCAAAGTAATTTCATTATTAAAAGTTTCAAACGTCAAACATACATGAATCTTAAAGCTTCACAGTCAAATTCAAGCCAAATAAAACCTGACATTATATATGTCTGTGTGTGTTAGGTTCATGGATGTGTCAAGATGGCACCACTTATGTGGAGTACAGAAACTGGAAGGAGGGTGAACCTAGTAATAGCTGGGGAAAGGAAGATTGTGCAGTATTGAGTCCTGCTGGTGATTGGAATGATGTACCATGTGAGAATCACGTTCCCACTATCTGCCAACGACCTGCACCACAACTGCACTTCTAAGTGACAACAAACAACCGACTTGTCATAAAAAACATAACAATTCATTTTCTTTTATTGAAAATTACATCCCTCAGAAAAGCAAGGCATCCTATAGACAGAACTGTGAATATGCAATTGAACAATTTGTACATTTGCAAACTTTGGGCAAACACTTTTAAAATTCGAATAACAATTTTAAAATGTAATAATCAAACAATTGTTAATGAATTTGGTACTCTTCAGAGGATACTTAGTCCTAAGCATGTATCTTTTCAATGTGTGCTATTTGGAAAACAGTTTCACTTGTTGCTCCGCAATTTTTCAGAGCAAACGAATATATGCCATTGAACCACTTGGGCAATTATAAAAATGGGCATACAATTTGACATGATTAAACAATGTTTTTAAATGATGAAAATTGATGTGTTGGTAGTCCTCACAGAATGCATGTATGAATGTATCTTTTTTAACATTTGTACTTGTGGAAAATAGTTTAATTATATGTTTATTTCAATTTAGATACAGAACTTTTCAATTTTCGTTTCCTTTTATCTCAATTTGATCTGTAACTATTCGATGGCATGAAATAAATGAAAATCTGATGCTGCAGTATTTAGTCAAGACTTTGTCATTTGTTATATCTTTGCTTATGGAGCACCTTTCTCAGAATATTTTGTCTGATTCTTTCAATTTCACCTTCGTTCAAGTCTTTTTCTCATTTTAATGTTAAATAACATCAGTTCTGTTACAGTGTTAACTTGGTAATATGAACCCAATGCATTCACTGATATAGCTACTAAGGGAATAAATATGTGCTTGGCCGTTTTTAACCAAGTAAGTTCAATACCAGCTAGGGACCTGGTCACCAATTTTTAACGTACTTGTTTGAAACCATCCAAGCAGGTATTTATTTTATAAATACCTTTTGGTTAAAACTTTTAAAGCAAGTCAAAAATTCACTAACTTCCAACAATCTTTCTTCTACAATTTACTTCATGTTTTGTGAAACATCCCTTTGGTCATGTCTACAGTATGTGCCTCACGCGCGTGGTGCTAAAACAGATACGTTTTATTTTTTAGCATAAATAGCATTGGCGTTGAGAAGGGACAAGATATTTATTGTCATTGATATATCAAAATAAAAGTAGGCCTAGGTTATCAGTATCATGATCATGTTCTGAACAACCAGCCAAATACTATGCAAGTTGCAATTATATTCACTTGCAATGTAGTAAGCTCTAACAAAGACTTCTGTCCTCTGTAGTCGTAGTAACCAACCTCTTTCAATGCCCATAAATATAGTGAATGAATTTTGTATCAATGGAGTTCTGCAGGCAGAATGAAATTCGCAGCGCAGTTTATCGATTAATTTCACCAGAAATATATGAAGTGTGAATTCTTTTTGCATCCACTGGCGCAACACTAATATTGTGAACACTTTGAAATCAACTGCCATACAGCTTCCATTGTGGCACTGCAGAATGATGTCTGAGAAAGGGGTACGCAATGCGCATTTTACCACTAGGCACCAGTCTGGTAACATCTGAAAAAGATGTTGCCTAAACGTCTTGTCGTTGGATTGATAAGCCTTTGTCTTATGATCAGATGCACTAGTGGTAATGAGAGGTGTGGGGCCTCCATTAGAGGGGCGTGTCCTCTTGCTTGGAGCCAGTGGGGTGACAAATGCTACAAGCAACTCAGCGAGAATCTACCATGGGCTGAGGCAAACCAGGAGTGCATCAAGATGGGAAGTGTCTTGGTCATGCCACAGTCTCAGGAGGAAACTGAGTACCTTGTGAAGAACATGATCTACTACTTTTGGATCAACTGCAGTGATCTTCAAGTTGAAGGTTTGTCAACTTAGGCCTATATTGTTTTAACAACGAATGCATTTTATTTTCCAAGAGTTTCATAGCTTAACATTTTTCTCTCCATTTTAAAAGGAAAAAAATCATTAGTTACATTTCAAACTTCAAACAAACATGGTTCTCATTTTTAAGGCTTCCTTGTAAAATTCTTACCAACTAAAACCAGACATTAATATTCTCTGTGTGTCAGGTACATGGGTGTGTCAAGATGGCACTACTGGTGTGGAGTACAGAAACTGGAGGGATGGTGAACCTAATAATGGCGGAGGAAGAGAAGATTGTGCAGCAGCGGGAGAATCTGGTTGGAATGACGTTCCATGTGACGATCTTTCTCCTGTTATCTGCCAACGACCAGCACCACAGCTGCACTTTTAAGTGTCAACAAAAACACTGACTGCTCATCAAAAAATAAGTACACATAGTAATTGCTTTTCTTTGATTGTAAATTATATCCCTCAAAAAAGCAAGGTATCATGTAGACAGTACTGTGAATATAGAACTGAACAATTTAAGGCAATCGTACATTTTGGGCAAACAATTTCAGAAGATAAAAACAATTTTAAAATATAATAATATAAAAGATTGCTGAGGCATGAGGTACTCCGTGTAGAATACTTAGTTCTAAACAAATGTCTTTTTGTAATTTGCGCTTGTTGGAAAATAGTTTCACTTATCTGCATTTTTCATTCACGAAAATTGTGTTGTCAACATATGCAACTGAACCACTTAGACAATCACACAATTTGGGTAAACAATTCGACATAATGAAATAAAAAGCCTTTTTTTTGTTTTAATAGTAGTTCTCATAGAATACATTGTGTGAATGTATCCATTTTATTTCGTGCTTGCGGAAATATTTTTAATTACAACTTTATTTAGTTCAGTTATAGAACTTTTCAATTTTCTTTTCCGTTTGTATCTAGTTTTTAGACAAGTACGTTTAAAACAAGCTAAGGACCTGGCCACCAGTTTACAACCGCCCAGCAGATATTTTCATTCCCATTTCTTTACTGCTCTCAGTCAAAAATTGTTAAAGAAGCTGACTGGCAAAATTTATTAACTTCTCCACTCCAAAAAAGGTGCAATATTCATTAGGGCTATATGACTTGGTTTGACAGGAATTGTGATTAGTTCAAAACTTGTTCGGTGACTTGAAATCCATTTCAGTCCAAAAGTGAAGGGGAAAAAAAGAGGAAAAAAATGCAGATGTTATGCTGGATTTCAAAGTATGTTCCTGAAAATAAAGTATGACTTGTTTCGTAAACTACCAGTATTTTGATTTGTGTATAGTACTCAGAATGCATGGACACCTTGATGGTGTTTTTTGGTAGAATCCCAAAAAACAAATTTGGCATTTTCTGATGACTCTACAAAACGCAGTATCGGAACCTTGTATATTCCAAGCATGAGCCTACGCCTCCATTCAATTCTTTGGATCGATGCTTGCAATCGGCGTTAGCTTGCATAAACAAGCAAGTATTTTTGAAAGGAAGTGCTCTGAATGGAGATGAAATTGTCGTAACCATGGTATTTCAGGTAAATGTCAATACCAGATGCGTGCTGCAAAGGCACGTAGGCTTGCTAACTTGTCCAATTAAGAAATTCTTTTTGTGTTCATTGGGGCAGAATAAATAAGGAGACTAGTTAATGAAAAGAAAATATTTACAGCGTCGTCAAGCTCACTACTGCAATCACGAATTGATCAGAGAAAAGAATCTTCATTTTACTACTGAGCACCAGTCTGGTAACATCTAAAAAAGATGTTGTCTAAACGTCTCATCGTTTGCATGATAAGCCTTTGTCTTATGATCAGATGCACTAGTGGTAATGAGAGGTGTGGGGCCTCCATTAGAGGGGCGTGTCCTCTTGCTTGGAGCCAGGGGGGTGACAAATGCTACAAGCAACTCAGCGAGAATCTACCATGGGCTGAGGCAACCCAGGAGTGCATCAAGATGGGAAGTGTCTTGGTCATGCCACAGTCTCAGGAGGAAACTGAGTTTCTTCAGAAGAACGTGTACCACTGGTTCTGGATCAACTGCAGTGATCTTCAAGTTGAAGGTTTGTCAACTTATATTGTTTTAACAACGAATGAATTCTATTTTCCAAGGTTTTTCATAGCAAAACATTTTTCTCTCCTTTTGAAAAGGAAAAAAAAATCATTATTAACATTTCAAACTTCAAACAAACATGGTTCTCATTTTTAAGGCTTCATTGTAAAATTCTAACCAACTAAATCCAGACATTAATATTCTCTGTGTGTCAGGTACATGGGTGTGTAAAGACGGCACTACTGATGTGGAGTACAGAAACTGGAAGATGGGTGAACCTAATAATCACGGGGGAAGAGAAGATTGTGCAGCAGCGGATGAATCTGGTTGGAATGACGTTCCATGTGACGATCTCTCTCCTGTTATCTGCCAACGACCAGCACCACAGCTGCACTTTTAAGTGTCAACAAAAACACTGACTGTTCATCAAAAAATAAGTAAACTGAGTAATTTCTTTTCTTTGATTGTGAATTATACCCTCAAAAAAGCACGGTATCATGTAGACAGTACTGTGAATATGCAACTGAACAATTTAGGGCAATCGTAAATTTTTGGCGAACAATTTTAGAAGAAGAAAAAAAAAAGATTGCTGAGGCATGAGGTACTCCGTATAGAATACTTAGTTATAAACTAATGTCTTTTTGTAATTTGCGCTTGTTGGAAAATAGTTTCACTTATGTGTATTTTTCTTTCACGGAAAATTGTGTTGTCAACATATGCAACTGAACCACTTAGACAATCACAAAATTTGGGCAAACAATTCGACAAAATGAAAAAAAAGGAACTTTTTTGTTTGAATGGTAGTCCTCATAGAATACATTGTGTGAATGTATCTATTTTAATTTGTGCTTGCGGAAATATTTTTAATAACAAATTTATTTAGTTCAGTTTTAGAACTTTCAATTTTCTTTTCCTTTTGTAAGATAGGCCTAATCTCAATCTAGTTTTTAAACAAGTACATTTAAAACAAGCTAAGGACCTGGCCACCAGTTTATAACCGGCCAGCAGATATTTATTCCAATTTCATTAATATCTTTCAGCCAAAAATGCAAATCAAGTCAAAAAATCACAAATTTCCAACGATTTTGTTCAACATTTACTTCATGTTTTGTAAAAACACCCCTCTGACACGTTATGGCTCAAAAGGAAACTACTGAGAAAAAAAGGCCTCTAAAGTATTGACTTTCGTATCTGTGAAAAGGAAAGATACCAATTGTTTTTCCTGAAAAAAACTTTTTAAAAAAATGTATTTCTCTAAATTACGTGTAGTTCACATATCAAAGATTACAAATATCAATAAAGGTTCACAAACAAAGTTCATTCCCATTTGATTTTTGCATTTTCTTCCACTAAGACATGTGCAAAGTTCCGTCTCATTTTGCCAGAATGCCTCACATATAAAACTAGAAAAGGTGTCTGAGGTGCTATATCTTGCCTGGTACGCTGCTTTGTAAGGAGTTGCACGTCATTTATTAGTTTTTGGCCTACAGTGGGGATGCATACGTCTCCTACTGGTAATCATGGCAACAGAGGTAAATATACATGAGTTATATGGCTTCCAACTCACAAAGCAGAGTCTTTCAAATATGTCCAATTAGAAATTTCCTTTTGCGTCCGTTCAGTCAGAATATATAAGGAGAATACATGTGGTTAATGAAAAAAAATATTTACAGCATCGTCAAGCTCACTACTGCAATCACGGATTGGTTAAAAGAGAAAAGAATCATCATTTCACCACTGGGAACCAGTTTGGTAACATCTGATAAAGATGTTGCCTGAACGTCTCATCGTTGGCTTGATAAGCCTTTGTCTCATGATCAGATGTACTGGTGGTAAGCTTTCATCCGTGAAGCGATGCTATAAATAATTTACAGTACTTTTTGATTAATTTAGTATTTTCATTCATCGAATCGTTTTGTGTTTTACAATTTTCAGCAATATTGAAATAAATGTATGAATGAATGAATACAATATAATCTATAGACCGATGCTTGTAGTCATAGAAATCGTGGTAACCATGACAATTCAAGTAAATAAGCATCAGGTACATGTTCCAAAGGCACACAGCAAAGGCTTGCTAACATGTGTAAATGAAATATTATCTTTACGTGCATTCGGGGCAGAATAAATTGACACCATCGTCAAGCGCACTTCTACAATAAAGGATAAGTGACAATAACATGAGGTGAAATTGCGGTAACCATGGCAATACAAGTATGCAAGTATCAGATACGTGTACCAAAGGCATATTGCTAATGTGTGCCGTTGCAAAATTATGCGTGCATTGGGCAAAAATAAATTTAAGGCATTCTCAAGCACGCTACTACAATACAGGATAGATGACAATAACACCCTTCATTTCACCACTGTGCACCGGTTAGGTAACATCTGAAAAGAAGTTGCCAAAACATCTCATCGTTGGCTTGATAAGCCTTTGTCTTATGATCAGATGCACTGGTGGTAATGAGAGGTGTGGGGCCTCCATTAGAGGGGCGTGTCCTCCTGCTTGGATCCAGTGGGGTGACAAATGCTACCAAAAATATAGCAAGAATCTACCATGGGCTGAGGCAAATCAGGAGTGCATCAAGATGGGAAGTGTCTTGGTCATGCCACAGTCTCAGGAGGAAACTGACTTCCTTCTGAAGAACCTGATCTCCTACTTTTGGATCAACTGTAGTGATCAGCAAGTTGAAGGTTTGTCAACTAATGAATGAATACATTCTTTTTTCCAAGATTTTCATAGCAAACAATTTTTCTCTCCTTTTTGAGAGAAAGACATGACATTGGAAAGGAAAGACATGACATTGTTAAGATTTCAAACTTCAAACAAAAATGATTCTCATTTATTATAGCTTCACAGTAAACTTCTAACCAAATAACTAAACCAGACATTTATATTCTGTGTGTGTGTCAGGTACATGGGTGTGTCTTGATGGCACTACTGATGTGGAGTACAGAAACTGGAGGGTTGCTGAACCTAATAATAGCGGGGGAGGAGAAGATTGTGCAGCAACAGGAGAATCTGGTTGGAATGATATATCATGTGACGGTCTCAATCCCGTCATTTGCAAACGACCTGCACCACAGCTGCACTTTTAAGTGCCAACAAAAACATTGACTGCTAATCTTTGTTTACTTTTATGGTAAATAACATCTCTCAAAAGGTACAGTAGTACTGTCAATATCAAATTGAACAATCTGGACAGTCACAAATTTTGGACAAACAATTTTAGAAGACGAAAAACAATTAAAAAATATAATTTAAAAAAATGTTGAGGCATGAGGTACTCCTTATAGAATACTTAGTTCTAAACATATATCTTTATTGTATAGTTTGTGCTTGTTGCAAAATAGTTTCACTTAATTTTCTTTTTTTTTATTCATAGAGAACGTATTGTGAGTATATGCATTGGAACTACTTGGACAATCACAAAAATTCTGTCGCCAAATTTGACAGGATGAAAAAACAATTTTTTTTTGTTTAATCCTATGGGTAGTCCTCGCACAATACATGTATGAATGTACTCTTTGACCAATTGGAATAGGTAAACTGTCTCAGGTATTTATGAATAAGAATTAATTCAGGTTTTCTTATATAGATAACTAATTGTATTACAACATCTACCAGGAGATCATTCTTCAAATTTTGAATTTAGTGTATTTTGACAACTTAAAAAAAAAAACACGTTCTATTGTACACAACCATAACTTGAAGCTAAATTACATCATCCTTAATAACACATCATTTCATTGTTTGACTAATTTTTTTTCGTGGAGTTGATTGTCTTTGTAGTCTATGATATATTCTAAATGCACTTAAACATAATTTTACATGTTTTTGGCTGCATTCATCACTGCCAAAAGTTATTCTCTTTTTTTCAATGTCTATCTTTGCATTATTTGTGGTTAATAAAGTTTGAGATCAAATATCTTGCACTGGTACAATGCTTTATAAGGAGTTGTGTGTCGTCCATGAGTTTTGGGCCTAAACTTTGGATTAAAATACATCTCCAGATTATTGGCATTGATGACTGAGGGAGGTGGTTTATTCGTGTTGAATTGTTGATGGATAAATGCTTGTACTGTAGATCTTACTATTGGTAGCATGTCGGTGGGATGAGAACTGGCGAGGCCTTCTATGTGATCTTGTTTGTATCATGAGGGTAAACAGGAACTTACAGGAGCTCTATAACTTTACAACATACCTCTGAGATATTCAGCATTTAAAATATATTTGTATGAATTTGGAGGGTAGAATCCAATGACAAATTTGGCATTTTCTGATGACTCTGCAAAATGCAATAAATATACCTTGCATATTCCAACCATGCACCTAAGCTTTTATTCATAAAGCAATACAAGAGATTTTTATGGAGCAATACAATCAGCCTTCTCTTTCTAACAAGCCACTAATTGTAATAGAACTCGTTATGTGAAATTGTGGTAACCATGGCAATTCAGGTAAACAAGTATCAGATACGTGTTCCAACGGCATATTGCTAATGTGTCCCATTGAATAAACCATTATCTTTGTGTGCATTGAGGCAGAATAAATTTACAGCATCGTCAAGGGCACTACTATAATAAAGGATAGAAGACAATAATACCCTTCATTTCAACACTGGGCACCGGTTAGGTAACATCTGAAAAGATGTTGCCAAAACGTCTCATCGTTGGCTTGATAAGCCTTTGTCTTATGATCAGATGCACTGGTGGTAATGAGAGGTGTGGGGCCTCCATTAGAGGGGCGTGTCCTCCTGCTTGGAGCCAGTGGGGTAACACATGCTACAAGCAACTCAGCGAGAATCTACCATGGGCTGAAGCAAACCAGGAGTGCATCAAGATGGGAAGTGCCTTGGTCATGCCGCAGTCTCAGGAGGAAACTGAGTTCCTTCTGAAGAACATGATCGACAAGTTTTGGATCGACTGTAATGATGAGCACGTTGAAGGTTTGTCAACTTATATTGCTTAAAATTAACTGACTTCCATTTAGAAATTGTTCACAGTTAAAACAATGTTGCTCTCCTTTTGGAAAGCAAAGTAATTTCAATATTAACGTTTCAAACGTGAAACGTATGATTTTCAATTCTAAAGCTTCACAGTAAAATTCAGGCCCAATAAAACCTGACATTACATATTATCTGTGTGTGTCAGGTACATGGGTGTGTCAAGATGGCACTACTGATGTGGAGTACAGAAACTGGAGGGAGGGTGAACCTAATAATGGCGGGGGAAAGGAAGATTGTGCAGTAGTGAGTCCTGCTGGTGATTGGAATGATGCACAATGTGACCGTCAGATTCCCACTATCTGCCAACGACCTGCACCACAGCTGCACTTTTAAGTGACAACAAACAACCAATTTGTCATAAAAACATAACAATTCAGTTTCTTTTATTGTAAATTACATCCCTCAGAAAAGCCAGGCATCCTATATATAGACAGTACTTCGAATATGCAATTGAATAAAGTCAATTTGGACACTCGCAAACTTCGGGCAAACACTTTCAGAAAATGAACAACAATTTACAAGTGTAATAATTAAACAATTGTTAATGCATGTGGTACTCTTCAGAGGATACTTAGTCCACGGATCCTAGACACCAGGATAAGCGACTGTTCTCGAGCTCTAGTACAAAATGCACCAAACGGAAGTGCCTTACTTGGTTAGACGCGTGATAACGGGCATTAATACCCGTTGGCTTATAATCGCGAATTTTCCAGATGTGCCATTGTGTTGGGTTTTTGTATGACATCTAAAACGGCAATAACTACTTCTTATTTAAGATATAATTGTTCCAAATTATTTTAGAAATTAATACTTCAGGAGGTAACATATGGTATTGTGCAGTTTTTGTCATCATAGATGAAGTATTTACCTGGGAAATAAACGTCAAATTTCGAGGAGAACACCGTTTACCCAAAATTCGTTTTTAATAAGGCTTTTATTAAAAAGTTTTAGAGAGATGTGAGGCCGAACCGATGAAACAAAAGCGACATTTCATTGTTCATCTTAAAGCTAAAGATATAGGCCAGATCGGGCGCAGAGCCTTGCAAATCTGAAAGCCACCGCGCGCAGTGGTCTTTGTTGAAAAGTATTCATGGTATTTGCCACCAGTACAGGCCGTTATCACGCGTCTAACCAGAAGTTGGGCCGAGTCGCTTATCCTGGTGTCTAGGATCCGTGCTTAGTCTTAAGCATGTATCTTTTCAATGTGTGCTATTTGGAAAATAGTTTCACTTTTTGCTCTGCAATTTTTCACAGAGAACGAATATATGCAATTGAACCACTTGGACAAATACAAAATTTGGGCATACAATTTGAGATGATGAAAAACAATGTTTTAAAAAGATAATTATGTTGGTAGTCCTCACAGAATACATGAATGAATGTATCTTTTTTTAATTTGTACTGGTGGAAAATATTTTAATTATATGTTTATTATATTTAGATACAGAACTTTTCAATTTTCGTTTCCTTTTGTAAGATAATCTCAATTGGAAATGTAACAATTTGATGGCATGAAATAAATGAAAATCTGATGCTGCAGTATTTAGTCAAGACTTAGTTATTTGTTATACCTTTGCTTATGGAGCACCTTTCTCCGATTTTTTTGTCTGATTCTTTCAATTTCACCTTCGTTCAAGTCTTTTTCTCATTTTCATGTTAAATAACATCAGTTCTGTTACAGAGTTAACTTGGTAATATGAACCCAATGCATTCACTGATATAGCTACTAAGGGAATAAATATGTGCTTGGCCGTTTTTAACCAAGTACGTTCAATACCAGCTAGGGACCTGGTCACCAATTTTGAACGTACTTGTTTAATTAAAACCATCCAAGCAGGTATTTATTTCATAAATACCTTTTGGTCAAAAAATTCAAAGCAAGTCAAAAATTCACTAATTTCCAACAATCTTGTTCTACAATTTACTTCATGTGTTGTGAAACATCCCTCTGGTCATGTCCATAGAATGTGCCTCACGCATCAATAGCAATAGCACGATCATCTTCTGAACAACTAGCCAAATATTATGCAAGTTGCCATTATATTGACTTGCAATGTAGTAAGCTCTAACAAAGACGTCTGTCCTCCGTAGTCGTAGTAACCAACCTCTTTCAATGCCCATAAATATAGTGAATGAATTTTGTATCAATAGAGTTCTGCAGGCAGAATGAAATTCGCAGAGCAGTTTATTGATTAATTTCACTAGAAAAATATCAAGTGTGAATTCTTTTTGTATCCACTGGCGCAACACTAATAATGTGAACACTTTAAAATTAACTGCCATACAGCTTCCATTGTAGCACTGCAGAATGACATCTGAGAAAGGGGAACGCAATGTGCATTTTACCACAAGGCACCAGTCTGGTAACATCTGAAAAAGATGTTGCCTAAACGTCTCATCGTTGGCTTGATAAGCCTTTGTCTTATGATCAGATGCACTGGTGGTAATGAGGGGTGTGGGGCCTCCATTAGAGGGGCGTGTCCTTCTGCTTGGAGCCAGTGGGGTGACAAATGCTACAATCACCTCAGCAAGGATCTACCATGGGCTGAGGCAAAACAGGAGTGCATCAAGATGGGAAGTGTCTTGGTCATGCCGCAGTCTCAGGAGGAAACTGAGTTTCTTCAGAGCCGCTTCAGTCCTCAGTTTTGGATCGACTGCAATGATCTTCAAAGGGAAGGTACTTACAAAGTGTATTTCTTATAGAACCCTCTTAGTTTCAACTACTCAAAGTATAGGGTCTAGATGAATGAGAGATACATTAGACAGTGGAAAATTGAAAAAGTTCAAAGAGTTCATATTTTTGTCGATGAATTTCACACACAAATTTATATTCTGCAATTCTTTTTTAGGTTCATGGGAGTGTCGCGAGGGTACCCGGAGCGTAACCTTCAGGAACTGGATCCCTGGTCAACCAGATAATTTCTTGGGCTTCAGCAACGCTGGAGAGGATTGTGCCGTCGTCTGGACAACCATGGGCCAATGGAATGACTTCCCCTGCAAACGGGAACAACCCGCAGTGTGCACGAAGCCTGCACCCAAACTACACCTTTGAAACTTACAGTGGAAAACCATCAGCCAAAAACAGAGACACTCTCAATCCGACTTTCATTGTTGTTCTACAATTAGCAATAATCACGAAGACAAAAACGCTTCAGTTATCTTGCAAGACGTTTGTTAGTCAGTTTGAACACATCCATAATACCATATTCTGCCATGCAGTCATTTGAAAAGCCTGCACGGCACAGTCACTATTGAAACAAATCTAAATATTACATCTCAAAAGATCTCCTTTAGATACAGCCTAGTGTAAAATGACAAAGTAGTAGCTCACACAGTAAAATAATTCCCAAAAGGAAGAAGATAGTGGCAGTGTGTAGATACTTGATCTTTTAGTGTTGCTATAAAATGAGCAATTTCACTTCTGTCTTTTAAATTAACAAGCAAGAATTGTAACAAAAGATTCTCAAACAGATAATTCTGTAGCATAGAAAAATTACTATTCTTGTGTAAACTTCTGTTTTACTATTTGGTGGAGTTGATTGCTTGTGTAGGCTAAATATGTAAATACTTTCAATGCACGGCATCATTTTTGTTAAAATCATTACTGCAATTTTTTTCTCCTTTGTTCAATGTTATCGTTGCTTTATTTGTGGTTAATAAAGCCTGAGATGAAATCTCTTGCATTGGTACAATGATCTATGAGGAGTTTTGGGCCTAAACTTTGGATTGAAATACATCTCCAGATTATTGGCACTGATGACTGAGGGAGGCTGTTCATTCGTGTTGAATTGTTGATGGATAAATGCTTGTACTGGAGATCTTACTATTGGTAGTATGTCGGTGGTATGAGAACTGGCAAGGCCTTCTATGTGATTTTGTTAGTATCATGAGGGTATACAGGAACTTACAGGAGCTCTATAACTTTACACAAACCACTGAGATATTCAGCATTTAAAATATATTGGTATGAATTTTGAGGGTAGAATACAATGACAAATTTGGCATTTTCTGATGACTCTGCAAAATGCAATAAATATACCTTACATATTCCAACCATGCACCTTAGCTTTTATTCATAAAGCAATACAAGAGATTTTTATGGAGCAATAAAATCAGCCTTCTCTTTCTAACAAGCCATTAATTTTAATAGGACTCCTTATGGAGGTGAAATTGTTGTAACCATGGCAATTCAAGTAAACAAGTATCAGATACGTGCTCCAAAGGCACATTGCTAATGTGTCCCATTGAATAAACCATTATCTTTGTGTGCATTGAGGCAGAATAAATTTACAGCATCGTCAAGGGCACTACTACAATAAAGGATAGAAGACAATAATACCCTTCATTTCACCACTGGGAACCAGTCTGGTAACATTTTATAATGATGTTGCCTAAACGTCTCATCGTTGGCTTGATAAGCCTTTGTCTTATGACCAGATGCACTGGTGATGAGAGGTGTGGGGCCTCCATTAGAGGGGCGTGTCCTCCTGCTTGGAGCCAGTGGGATGACAAATGCTACAAGCAACTCAGCGAGAAACTACCATGGGCTGAGGCAAAACAGGAGTGCATCAAGATGGGAAGTGTCTTGGTCATGCCACAGTCTCAGGAGGAAACTGACTTCCTTCAGAAGAACCTGGTCCCCTACTTTCAGATCAACTGTAATGATCTTCAAGTTGAAGGTTTGTCAACTTATATTGCTTTAACAATGAATAAATTCTATTTTCCAAGATATTAATATGAAACCATTTTTCTCTCTTTCTGGAAAGGAAAGTCATTTCATTATTAACATTTCAAACTTCAAACAAACATGGTTCTCATTTTTAAGGCTTTACTGTAAAATTCTAACCAAATAAAACCAGACATTAATATTCTCTGTGTGTCAGGTACATGGGTGTGTCAAGATGGCACTACTGATGTGGAGTACAGAAACTGGAGGGAGGGTGAACCTAGTAATGGCGGGGGAAGAGAAGATTGTGCAGCAGCGGGAAAATCTGGTTGGAATGACGTTCCATGTGACGATCTCGCTCCTGTTATCTGCCAACGACCAGCACCACAGCTGCACTTTTAAGTGTCAACTAAAACACTGACTGCTCATCAAAAAAATAAGTACGCATAGGAACTTTTTTATTTTACTGCAGATAACAGCCCTCATAAAAGCAAGGTATCATGACGACAGTACTATGAATATGCAACTGAACAATTCGGAAAATCGCAAATGTTGGGCAAGCAATTTTGAAAGATGAAAAAGTTACATTGTACAAAACCATCACTTGCAGCAGCATCCATAATATTTCATTTCATTGTTCGACTAATGTCTATTTTTTGTTGAGTTGACCATCTTTGTACATGTAACTGCAAGGGATATTAACATTAGGAAAATAACTGGTGCATAAACTTTGTAAGTCTTGCAACGTCATATTTACTTTTTTAATACTAACACTGGTTACCGGTCGGTCTTGTCACAGACTCAATTATTTATCATTATAGCCAACAGCACAATGTGTGAACAACTGGTCACAAGTTCAGGCCATTTGGACATAATCACTATAGTCATCAAGTTGCTGTGTCATTCATTTGTCGTAAATTTTGATGCTTCAATTTCCAAAAACAAAAAGCTATTTACACAATATGTATTGTAGATTAGTAGCAAAATAAATTCAGTTGTTATGTGGCACTTGATTAATGCATCTTGAAGTCCTGAGTTTTTTGCATAAGCTTGTTCCCCCCCCCCTTTTTTTCATTTCAATATCATGAAAACAAAGTAGTTCACCCATACTGAAATTTGTATCCTTGTGGAGAATTTCTTTGTTTTCGTGTACTAAAGTTTTTGAGTTTGAAAGTACAGTTTCAAAATGCTCTTATTTTAACCAGAATTAATTTCCTTGGCTGAAATTCGGACTTAATATCCCGTTTCTAAAACTCTACCATTTGCGACTGATCAACATACCTTGGAAATTCCTAGTTTTTTAGTACAATCCATATATCTATTTCGTGTAAACCTTGTGGAGACGTATTCATCTATAGAAATTGCCCTATGGAGACGTATATAATTTTTTGTTCCCTGTTGTGTGCATGTCTCCAGAGGGCACGGCGTATCAGATTACCAGTTCATGCCGGACGACGTGTATACACACAAATGTTTTGCAGTATTACGGATGACAGATAAACACGCAACGAGCGAGGCCGGAAATATCTGTCTGCGACCCGCTCGCAGTGGGCGAGGCCGGAAATATCAGGGTGGCTACCCACAGATGACAGCCTGAATCTGTCTGGCATCAAGGTTCATGAAAAACAATCCTGCGCCTGGGTCCGGTTAGAACCAAAATAATCCCAGCACGAACTGGTTAACCAAGGTTAACAAGTCGTGTCGGCAAAATGCCTTGACATTATAAAAATACAAATAATTTGTAAGCATTCGTTGAATCAAGGAAAGAAATCAAAGGACGACGGATAAACAAACAGATGACAATTAAATGGCGGAGTGACAAACAATAAATAGACAGGGGTCGATGGGATTGAAACTTCCAAATTAAATGCTGCAAAGAAAATGCCATTTCAACAAGAAAAAATGGATAACAGAAGAGAGGAACAAATTTTGACAAACAGATGGTGCTTTTTTCCTGCATATAAGCATGGAAAACATGTCTTGGTTTTAACTTGGATTAGCCTACCTCATCGGCAGATCTAGAATCAGTTGTTATGGTGGGGGCTAGACTTCATGTGTCTATTAGAGAGGTAAAAGTAAAGTCTGTTGCGAGACAATACAGCCCATCAGGCCAGCGTTTATCTCCGGTATCCTAGGAATGAAACGACTGAGAATATTTCTATTCCCCTTGGACAGGATGCCAGTCCATCGCAGGTTACTCCCCAGCTAAATGCCGGTACCCATTTATACTCCTGGGTGGAGAGAGGCAAGTGGGGGTGAAGTGGCTTGCCCAAGGACACAACATATGGCCAGCAGCTGGATTCGAACCCCTGACCCTCTGATCATGAGTCACTGACGCTAACCACTAGGCCACACTCTTACAGAGGATATATTGTACTTCAATACACTTGCCAAGTCCTCTCTACACGGTAAATTTCTCTAGTCAGCCGAAATTGATTGGGCAAAATTGAGTGATACGGCAATTTGTGCAAAAACACTTCGACTACGACAAGAAAGGAAAACCAACAAAAAACTTACTTGGACAGTTGTTGGTGCTGCACTCCTGGGTGTCTGTGGATGCATCTGAGCAGCTAGCGCCGCCGTGCTTGGGCGAAGGGTCATCACAGGTCCTGGATCGTGATTGGATGCTGCCTCCGCAGGTCACTGGGCATGTACTCCAAGCCGACCAATCACCGTAAACGCCATCAACTGCAAGTTACAAAGAAATATTGTCAGGCATCTACTTCTATTCCAGATGATGGTTTATACAGGGCGAGTCAAAAACTGCAATAATGCAAAAGAGCCATTGTTTTTTAAACGAAGTTGAAGTTTTGAACATTTTAAACCTTGTAAGAATGACATATTCATTAGTAACCTTGTGTGAAAAAAAGGCAGTTAATTACATTTACCGTTTGTCTTTTGTGAACCTTTTTACGAGGCATCAGAATTTTACATAAGAGCAGAAACGGTACAATAAAGACATTAGAGAAAACACAGATTAAAAACTGACTGAACCTTAGCTCAAGCTTTATTTTTCTGTTTCACTTCTTTATCTTTGTGCAAAGTTTCTCTGGGCTATATTGTAGTTACTGTGTCCTTCATTATTCACACAATTGCAGCTCTACTTGGCAACCATGCAAGGCAATACTTGTCTCGACTTTAGACCTCATGGAAAGAACGGCTCCGTTCGAGTGAAGTTAGAGCAACCAATAACCACAGTTTTCGCCTAAACTTGCTCTATGTTGTTAGATGTTAAGATTTCTTACTTGGGTTGAATGCTCCATACAGCTCCACTCTCAGACAGACAGAGCCATTGGAGGACTTGGGTAGGAATCGAACTAGGGTGACTGCAGATAAGCCGCTCAGCTCATGACGGACAGTGTCGGTGTTATCAATGTTCCCCTGAAACAGCTGCACAGGAATGAAAATGTATACAATACGCCTTGAGTTAATTTGTTCTTAGTTTGAATAGGTCAGTTTGGATTCAATATAAAAGCAGTAGCCTTTGGCCAATCACAATTTGAAACTAGATCATGAATATGTATGAGGTTTGGTAATGGTTCACCAATCACAAGGTGAAACAAGATCATGAATATGTATTAGGTTTGGTAATGTTTAACCAATCACAGTATGAAACTAAATCATGAATATGTAAGAGGTTTGGTTACAGCTCACCAATCACAATGTGAAACTAGATCATGAATATTTATCAGGCTTGGTTACAGCTCACCAATCACAATGTGAACTAGATTATGAATATGTATGAGGTTTGGTTACAGCTCACCAATTACAATGAGAAACTAGATCACAAATATGTATCAGGTTTGGTTACAGCTCACCAGTCACAATGTGAACTACATTATGAATATGTATGAGATTTGGTTACAGCTCACCAATTACAATGAAAAACTAGATCCTGCATATGTATGAAGTTTAGTAACAGCTCACCAATGAAAATGAAAAGGTAGGTCATGAATATGAATGAGATTTATATCACTACCAATACCCACCTTCGCATTCCCATCCTCTTCGTAGTAACTCCAACTGCTGCCATCGTCGCTGAGCTGCAGGTAGTAAGAAGTCACGTAGTTGGTGTCAGAGGGTCTGCCTTGAGTGGCAACAGCTTTCAGAGTGACACCATCTGTAAGGTTAACCTGTATACGGTAAAAAAAGAAAAAATGACATTTACATATTAAGGAGGAAAGTTTGGATCAAAACCTTTGAAAAATTTGAAGTCGGAGATATGACTTTAATTCAATTAGACGGGGAAAAAAATTATCTTTTTTTAATGTTTTTCTGTCGGTTGTTTATACTTTATACTTTGTTTACTTTAGATACTTTTACTGAACAGTATTCTGTTCAATTACCCTGTTCAATCAACCTGTTTAATTTAATTAACAAATAATAGACAGAAAATTTACATAAGGCAGGCTTTTTAATTTTCAAAATGTACTTTATTTCAAATTTTTGTTGCCGAATGTGGCAATAAAAAGTTTGTCAGCGAAATGGTCTTAAAAATTTGATAAGCAAATGTATACATTCAACCCACCTGCATCCATGGATCCAGATCTGAATCCATCGGCATCCAGCAATGACTGGTATCACTGTCGTCCAGTCTACCCCAGGTAGCACAATGGTCGGTACTGGAGGAGCAATTGGACTGAGTCAGCTGGCTGTCTGTTATGGAACCGTCTGCCACACCTAGCGATGTGTCTTCATCTCCTAGCAAGAGGCAAACGTGAAACAGCGGTTGATTTTTGCATTTACGATACTCATCATAACTTTGATTAAGATAGCACTCATGATGCATGACAGGGCTACAATCAGTTGTAGCTAAGATGGTTTCCACAATGGAGTTCAGGGTGCAACCTTGCAAAAAAATTCCCATAGCCACTAGTGCTAAATGCCCATACTTCAAAATTCTTTTAAAAATACTCAGAACTCTCACAGGTATTTAAGCTGCACAGAAAAATGATGATAGACATGTCATCTTTCAATTTCTTTTCATTTTTTGGTGGGTTGACCATTGACTTTTCGAGATTCTCGCCCAAAGAAGAAAACTCCTATTTTCCCCAAAGCGAACGGTAGCCATCTTGAAAAACGATCCCTCCACAACGTGGCAAAATAGCGCCACTTTCGAACCCAATTGGGGGATTCCGCCCCCCCCCCAAAGATCTCGCCCATCGAGTGATGCAAATTTTTGAAACTTGGTACATGCATAGAGCAACTCATCATGAACATGCCTACGAAATTTCATGACTGTAGGTCAAAGGATTTTGGATTATTCATATGTATGAATGGTAATTTCTGCTCTGTGTACACGACGTATATGGGAAAATTCAGTTTTCACGGCGCGTAGTGCGGGAAAATTTTCCGCTGCGCGGCAACCCGTGGTCAGATTTTCATTTTTTGGGTATCAAAAGATGCGCAAGGCTCGAGGCTAAAAAGTCATAACAGCTCGGGTCACGAAAAAAACATTTTTCAAAGCCATCTCGAAAAAAGTCAAGGCCCTTTTTAGGGTTAAGCATACATGAGCAGAAACACAAGAACTTCCAGTATACAAAAACACACCATAATAGTGCAGTGCCTGTGGTCCAATGGTTACCATGTTCCATTCATGTGCACGAGTACGTGGGTTCAAATCCTGAACATGGGGCTTGTGTTCTTGGGCAAGACACTTTACTACAATAAAGTCTGAAAGTTGACCCCTGGTGGCCCACTTCCGGACAACTCGAACAGGAAAATTAGCGTGATGGGAGTTTTTGAAATTATTTTTGGTACATTGATTTCTTGAGAAAATCGCCCTCGGAAAAGGACTTTGTAAATTGCTTCTAGCATCTTAATTGATGGAAAATGAAAAATTGCATGATGTGAAAGAGAAATATCGTGCCAAAAATTGACCTCTCACTTCCAAAAATCTAAAATACAAGTTGACTAGTGGAACTGGGAGCACTCGTACAAATTTTGTGGCGGTCATGGGTAAAAACTGAAACTTTAATAAGAGACTAAAATGTCTTTGGGACACACAATTTCTTTAAAATAAACTGGAAGGACTAATTCTCATTTACAAACAAATCTAAGATGATCATTGATAAAACCTGTATTCAAGCATGATTCAAACAAGCCTGACTAACTCTAGAATCCATCAGATGCATGTAGGTACATCTTCGCTTCGTTATCATTTTCATTCTCACGCAAGTGCGCGATGTGAAAACAAATGTGATCGAACAAGGAGACCTAGGAACGAAAATCGGGATGTTTACCTGCGCATGGCCCCTGTAATGTACAGGCCTCCCAGTCTTCAGCATCACCAGTGCAGTTAGCGCCGCCGTACTGTGCTGACGGGCTGTCACAGGCACGAGTCCTGTAGTAGATACCGTCGGCTCCACAGCTAACGCTGCAACCGATGACGGTTGTCCATGAACCCCAACTTCCATCAACTAGGAGAGACAGATCCAACACAAAAGTTTCTTAAACTAGATTTCATAAATAGGTTTCCTTGGCACGGTGCCAAAGCAATCAGTGGAAATGGAAAACAGTGGAACGCTGCTAAAACGAAAACCGCGGGATCCAAACTGTTCGTATTAGCAATCATTCGGTATAGCGATTTTAAGCTGCCGGTGCTCGGAAGTCACTCTTCAATAAATAGCGCCCTTCAGAACTTCACCCTGCATGCCCTGGTAGTTACTGAAAGACGACTTTGAACACGTGCTGACTATTGAATTATGTAATTACACAGTTTTCGAGCTTACTACCTGCAGCAATGGGTGGCTTTCTCCTTCTATTCCTTGGGGAAATAATAGCCACTTGTCACTTTTCTGTTAACATTTTTTAACAACAAATTGAGTTCAGTATAGCTGAATGTTTGGTATAGCGGTGTTCAGTATAGCGACGTTCCACTATAGAACTACTTGGAGCATCTGTAACCTTTTTACAAAAGTCTTTAGTTTTGGTTTGATTTTGCGCTTATTAAATATCCGTCCTGCGAGGAGACTGGTTCCCGGTATTAACGATGCTGGAAGGGGCAGGAACCAGTCTATCCTGGAATGCTTCAGTATTGTTGGGCCGTCAATAAATCAAAATGTATAAAGTAATTATTCTATAATTCGTCATGTCTGTGCAACAAGGTCGTATCTCCTAAAACGGCATGTGACGTCATGTACATGAAATGCGAGTTTTCAATGTCAAAAGGTCGTATCTTGCATAAAATAACCCAGATGTACACACAAAGTCAACGGATGTCGTGATGCGCGAGATACAACCTTGTTGCACGAAGCGTATTCGCGCGAGATACAACTTTGTTGCAGAATCAAGTTACGACCTTGTTGCACTGACGTGACAGATTATTATAATTGCAGGGCCACTTCATTCAACTGAAATTCAGAAGTGTAATAGGAAAATAGCAATTTAAAACAAAATATATTTGAACTTAGAAAAAAAATTAGAAAATGTTACGACAGTACACCTTTAATATGAATTCTTACTTGGGCAAGGGTTTGCGTTTCAAGCACACAGGTTAAAATTAATTCTTTAACTTAGGCATGCACAAGGATTGGTGTCGCACGGATTCTAACTTGGGCAAATGGCGGTGTTGCAAAACTCTAGGTTAAACCATATTCTCACTTGGGCAAGGGTTGGCGAACATATTCTCACTTGGGTAACGGTTGGCTTTGCAAGCACACAAGTTAATACATATTCTTACTTGGGCAAGGGTTGATGTTGCAATCCTGGCTGTCCTGATCTGATTCTGAGCACGTACTGCCGCCGTACTTGGTCCCTTCACATGTCCTATTGCGGTACTGAGTGCCACCTCCGCACGTGACGTCACACTCACCCCAGGAATTCCAAGCACTCCATTCACCGTCAACTGAGGCAACAAATCAAAATATAAGGTCAAGTATTTCAACTAGGGGAAGAGACATGCTCTACAAAGTTTGAGTTAAATTTATTTTGACTCAAGTCCGGCTCATACCGAACGTGAACGCAAACTTTTGTTAAGAAGGTGGTTTCCTTTTACAGTCAATTGGAAATAATATTTTTCTGGTACTCATGAAAAAAAAAAATTGCATAAACACTTAGTGTCAAAACATACACAAGATATCAACCTTTCCTAAAGCCCCAGTCAAACAATTACGGTTTGGAGCTATGTATCCACGGTTTATCAATAATCAATCAATCACAATGAACCGTCAAGATTTGTGGAGAAATCGACTTTTTAAAAATGCACCAGGGTTTCAGGATGGATAGCCACGACTGTCCTGCGGTTTCTCTATGAATACACCACGGTTTGTCAAGAATATGGACGGATTGGTGAAGAATATTGACAGTTTTACTATTAATGACGTTAACGCCGTAGTCGTCTGCGATTGGGCAACGGATGACCAGGTTCTCCTACAAATAAAGCAAGGCTACTCATAGTACAACCTTAGCAGAACCCTAGCACATCAGGGCATATCCGTAGGACATTTGTAGCAAATTTATAGAGATTTCTACCACGAATGAGCTACGAATCTCCAAGAATATGTACGATTAGCCACGAATAGCATTACCAATCGGTATGGTTGTCCTACGGATGTCCAACGGTTGCACTGCAGATTGATTTTCATGACGATTCACCACGGAAGTTTGGAACAGTTTCAAACTTCCGTAGCCCCTCCATGAATACCCAAGGAAGATGACGGATAACCACGGAGGTACTAAGGGTGAATACGGTACTCCCTCGGTTATTCATAAATTTTAAACCGTGGAGATTCGTAGCTCCAAACCGTAAATGTGTGACTCAGGCTTTTACCACATTGATCACTGACTTGGCTCTCCCCAGAACAAAATTGTTTGCTCAGTCATGCGGAAATCACTAGAGCGTGAAAAATGGACCACAAGTTGACAACTCACTTTTATCAACCCAGATTTTCACTGCCAAGGAGTGCTTGAAACCAAAGTGTTGTGTGTAAAGTTTGTTGCTTAACTTTACTTTTTTGTGATGTAAAAATCAAGGCCATATGTGCAAAAATAAGAAAGTTATGCCTGTTTGTTCATCTGGTCCCAGTTATCAAACTGCAAGCCATTTGACCACATGACCAAACGGCACTCCATACCTCAATGTAGTTTGAAGCACTTTTCGGGATAGTTTGAAGCACTTTTCTTAAATGTTTGTAATAATACTATCAATAAACTACATCATTAGAATGATCCGAAAACACTCTTTCAGCTGGTATATGGTTGAGGTATGGGCAGCCAAACATACCAACGTGCCAGCTTGCTCAAAAGAAGTGAATAAATCTGTGTTGAGGGTGTTCTGTGTGTGGTTTCCTGGTCGACTAAAGTTGCCTATGGTAGCAGCAGGGGGTAGTTCCTTGATGACAAAAGTCACCCATAGTAAGGAAAGGGTTAATAACCTCATAAAGGTTCAGGAACAAAAAAAGAAAAGGGAAAACATGTAGTAGGGAGATGGAAAATCATCACTTACTTGGGTTGTAGAAACCATACAACTCCACTCGCATGCAGATCTGGATATTCCACGCCACCGGATGGAACTTGACGTAAGACACCTTGCTACTGATCGACACGGGATGACGGACCAGATTCTGGTTGTCATAGTTACCACGGAAAACCTGGAACAAGCACAAAATGATCCATGGGTTGTCAAACGTGACGTGTAGACAATCTTTTTTGTTTGGTCGTCCAATTACGTCACCACAAGGATTTTACTTGCGCTACGCTTGCCACGTGTGGTCTAGCAATAGAGCACAGGATTCATGATCGTGAGGTTGTGGGTTCGAGCCCCGCCATGGCAATGTGTGTTGTGCCCTTGAGTAAGGCGCTTTACCTCAATTACTCCTCTCAACCCAGGTGTTAAATGGGTACCGGCATCATTCAATGCTGGGAAGGTAACAGACTCGCTGTGGAGGAGGTGTGGCGATCCCCCCACAGCAGCATATGAGTCTGGCCCAATCACTAACGAAAGAGAGAGATGGGCACTCCGTTCCTGTGAACACAGGTTCGTCCTCTTTTTTTACGCTAGCCTTTTGCTACTGTGAAGCGGTAGGTTTTTTCTTGGAGTGAATGCCCATGCGAATGCAAACTTGCAAGGCGTTCTGGCAAAATGAGACGGAACTGGGCTGAGGTCGAAATGAGGGTTTGTGGGTATTAGGAAAGAGTATATAATTCTCCTTAGAATACTGTTTGTTGCACTTCAATCGGACATTCCATTGACAAGTTATGGCTGCTTAAAGTTCGCTTTTATCAACAAATTAAAGTACTGAGGAAAAAAGTTTGGAAACTCTTCAGAGACAGGAATGACAACTATCTGCCCCATACCTTGTTTTGTCCTGATTCTTGGTAAAGCTCCCACGAAGTTCCATCGCTGCTGTATGAGATGAGATACTCTGTCACGTAGCTGGCGTCAGACAGCCTCCCCATGGTTGCAACAGCACGCAGCGTGACGCCATCTGCAAGCTCCACCATCAACCATTCACTGGTATCGTTGCTGGCCGGTATCCAGCAGCGGGTGTTGTCCGTGTTGCCAAAGCGGGCCGCGGTCGCGCAGGTCGTGTCGTTGTTGCTGCAGCTGGACTCGGAGAGGTAGGCATCCGTGATGTTCCCTTCTTGGACACCGAGGGCGCTGTCTTCATCACCTTGTAAGGCAACACGCAATTAGATAAAATCAATCAACTTACAGACTCATGCATGCACACGTACCCCCTCAACAGTTTAAATAAGAGAGTTGGGGAGACCACTAGGAGAGACATTCCAATGCACTGCCAATGATGCCTGACGCTCACGCGAAGATGCTACAGAAATGAGCACATTCGGAATACAATTGGTCATGTGTCGTCCGTGACATACACGCACGAACCAATACGCGCACGCAGTGTGTCCGCCACTGGGGCTCGATTTCGAAAATGGTCGGAAAGCGCCATCTATTGTCCATACCTAAGATGTAAAATAAGTCCATAAAAAATTAGTTGTTTGAACCAACTAGGAGTGACTACATCTTCAAGACATCTAACCATCGTTTTCAAATTCAGAACTTCAAAATTCCAGTTAACCTTAGCGGAGCCTGGTGGAACAACGGTTATGGTGTTCGACTCATGTGGGTTTGAACCCTGACCGTGAACATGGTGCTTGTGTTCTTGGGCAAGACACTTTGCTACAATTGCCTCTATCCACCCAGGAGTATAAATGGGTACCTTTGAGGGTAGAGACTACAATGCGCTGATCTCGAGCTGCTGCAAAAACTGGTCTCATGGCCTGTTGAGTATTAAGTAAAGTCTGTCATGAACCAATGTAGCCCATCAGGCCGGTGTTTATCTCCGGTTTCAGTAGCATGAAACGACTGAGAATATTTCTATTCCCCCTGGATGGGATGCTAGTCCATCGCAGGTTACTCCCCAGCTAATGCCAGTACCCACTCATACTCCTGGGTGGAGAGACCAGGCAAGTTGGGGTGAAGTGGCTTGCCCAAGGACACAACATATGACCAGCAGCTGGATAACAACCCCTGACCCTCTGATCACGAGTCACGAACCCTAACCATGAGGCCACACTCCCCCATGGCCACATGAACAGGGATAATAATTGTGAATTGCTTTGAGACCTTTGGTATAAAGCGCTACATAAGCACATTATCATTATCGACAATTTGCCCAGTTGTTGCCTTACTTCCGCAGGTTTTAACAGAGCTGCATCCGATCCATTCCTCGGTGATCCCCTCGCAATCATTGCCGCCGTACTGCGGGGCAGGGTCAGTGCAGTTGCGTTTGCGTATGATGGTCCCGTCGACTCCGCAGTCAACACTGCATTGCCCACTCTCCGTCCAGCTTGAGAAATTCCCATGGACTAGCGGGAAAAAGTATATATTTTTAAAACTATGTGAACCATCTTTTCAGAGTTTTAGAGAGCTTTACATTGTACTTAAAAGATTTTCTGAATCAACAAAATTATAGATTGATGGAAATTTTGAGACATGGAGATTTTGAGACGCCCGTTCTGAGCTAAGGAAGCGAACTGGATAGGTCATGAAACTGTTCTCTATCTACGTTTAGTCCAGTTGTCTTGTTTCAAATGTTTTCAAATTCATCAAAATTATGTTCAGGATTATGTTTTGAAGATCATAGTTAATGTCTCACTATCGATTTATTGGTCATTTTTAATTAGTTGATATATGACAAGATATATCTAGTACTAAAATTGGAGAAAACTTGTCCCATTTTTTAAAAAACGTTTGACTTACTTGGGCAGTACCAGTCACCACACAACTCCCCCTCAAATCCAGGCTCAACTCCTGCGACAAAAGACAACAAAACAATGTTAAAAGCAATGAGTGAAAATGTTAGCCTGAAAATGAGATAATAAATATATGCATGAATTCACAAGCCTCTACTCTAGTGCAAACACTCTTATGAGTTGTGCCGACAATTTATCAAGTTGAAGAAACCTTTGGCTTAGAGGAGCATACATTCTTTGGGAAAATCATCACGGTATAATAGAGCTTCGCTTTACCAAACACCGCTATACAGAACATTCAGCTACACCAAACATCCTCCTTGGCTCCCGATTTTTGTGTACAAAATGTATCGAACATTGTTGCTGAAAAATGTCAAACAAAAGAGCCACAAGTGGCTATTATTTCCCCAAGGATTAGAAGAGGAAAGCCACCCACTGCTGTAGGTAATAAGCTCAACCCGACTCGATGCACAACACTACCCTACACTTTCGGTAGATTTGTTAGCAGGCAATAGATTGTTTTGCAGAGCAATGACTTAGGCCCTTAGCCAGAAAGAGCACTGGACTACATCTACTCACCAAGATAAAAGAGTTCCACCTCTCTGGCCGACATCTGACTGAAGAATACTTTCAAGTCGCTCAGGTCTACGTTCAGACGCAGACTGGTATTGCTGAGGTCATGAACCCGGGCCCCCAGTACAACGTAACCGTTCTCATCCGATTGGTCCTCACTGTAAACTCCGTCTGATGCGCTGGTGGAGGCTACACTGTATCCATCAATGTAAAGAGTGAGATTTGTGGAGGGGTTGTACACCACCGTTAGATAAAACCACTCTAAGTCCGGCACAGATGAACTTGTTGCGACAGTCCAGACATCCGAGTCGACTATCTTAACCAATAACTCCAGAGCGCTGCCTTGGGTTGCTTTTGTTGTCTTGATGGAAACTCCGTGGTCGCTCGCGCCTGCGACACCCGTGGACAGAAGATACCGTTCCCCGATGTTGTCCGAATGGCTCAGCTGTACCCATAACGCCACCGTAAAACCCTGCGTGCACAGGGAGGGATCCGCGAGGCAGGTTTCGCCGAGGGTGTCAAACGTGATGTAGTTGTTCGACAGGGACGCGGCGCATGTGTACTGGGAGGTGTTTCTGGCTTCCACGAGGTCAAGGAGGGATTGAGAGCTGCCTTGTTGATTGCCGATGGCGGCTGGGATGGAACGGTCAAAGCATGGGCTGCTGCAGTCTGGGAGATCGACATCATAGGAGCATCGACCACTCAGGTCCCACTGTAGAGATGGCTGATACTCTACAAACAAGAGAAAAAGATTTAGTTAGAAAAATTCGAGTTTTGTTTTCTGAGGAGTTCGCGATTCAGATTAACAGAAGTCATGCGGTGGTGACCACTGTTTATGTCGTGCGCCCTCTTTTGGAAGAAATTGATGATGTAAGCATACGGAGTGTCCCTACACAACTGTTGTAGTTGAGGTAGTTGTGATGGATCGCAAGTCCATCACAGGTCTGTCACAAGTCTATCACAAGTCAATCACAAGTCATCACAAGTCATCACAAGTCATCACAAGTCAATCACAAATCATCACAAGTCATCACAAGTCATTACAAGCCATTACAAGTCATCACAAGTTATCACAAGTCCTCACAAGTCAATCACAAGTCCATCACAAGTCAATCACCAGTCAATCACAAGTCCATCACAAGTCATCACAAGCCATTACAAGTCATCACAAGTCATCACAAGTCTTCACAAGTCCATCAGAAGTCATCACAAGTCTTCACAAGTCCATCACAAGTCATCACAAGTCATCATAAGTCAATCACAAGTCAATATCAAGTCCATCACAAGTCAATCAGAGATCGAACGTGTTGATTTTTGTGGAGGGAGGAAAACCGGAGAGCCCGGAGAAAAACCCTTGTGGCACAGGAGAGAATCAACGCACAACTCTACTCATGGTCCGAGCCAGGAATCGAACCCAGGCCACAGTGGTGAGAGGCAAGCGTTTACGCTTTAGCCACCCACGAAATGATCAATACTTTTATACATTAATGAATGAATACTATTCAACTAGTAACCAACTCAGTATCTAACCTTGTCTCTCTTCTCGTAGCCAGTACCAAATCGTCTTGGGCCCGGAGTAACAGCTGTCGGCTGTGGTCATGGAGTCAGTTGTGCTTGGTGCCCCGGTGGTAGCTGATTCCCTTGCTGTGGTAGCAGGTAACCTTGTGGTGGTAGCTGGTACCTGTGTTGTGGTAGCTGGTACCTGTGTGGTGGTAGCTGGTACCTGTGTGGTGGTAGCTGGTACCCCTGCAGTTGTTGCTGATGCGGTGGTGGTAGGAGTTACAGCTTGGCCGGTTTCCGTCATGAGCTCCGTGACTAAGTCAGTAACAATTTCTGTCGGAATATCCGTGTTGGTTATGATATCCGTGACTATATCGGTTACCAGTTCTGTGACCAGTTCTTCATCCGAGGTGGTTGCTCCAGAGGAAAGCGTTGTGACCAGCGAGGCTGTTGTTTCCCGCTCAGAGGAAGGCATCGTGACCAAGAGACCCTGGGTCGTCAGTCTGGCTTCTGCAGTAACCTCCGGGCACGGCCCAAACAACGACGATTCCATGTCCTTCATGTAGGGCATCCAGGTGCGGTTCGCGCACGTACAGACGAGGGCGCCATACCAGTAAGCCCCCTCGCCGTCCAGCGTGGAGTTCAGGACGCTGAGTAGGACCGGGTAGTTGTTGGCCAGCCAGGGCATGATGTGGTTTAAGGAGGCGTTGCTGGGTTTCCAGGAGCTCAGCATCTGCACCAGGCTAGCTCGTTGGGAGGAGGATGAGGAGACGAAGGAGTAACTGGAAGGGGCTTCGTAAATGCCTCCCCATTGGCCAGGATTGATGGACTCAAGACGATACTGTAAAACATAAGAGAACGTAACACTTCAAAAACAAAACAGGTTTCACTAACTCCTGTCTACATATGCAATGCGATCAAGCTAAATGAGTCGTTTGTCAGGAATTTTTATTTTGAGATTCAGGCCGAAATAGCGTCACTTCATCACATCACTTCATCACATCTTTTGGTTTTCCAACTTCCATAATTTTTTTATCTAAAGATGGTATCAGCATGCCGTTTTCACAGCAGTAATGCTGAGATTGTGCTCTTTTCAAATCTGTAATAAACAATTTTTTTTACCAGGGTCGACAAACGACTCATGTAGCTTGATCGCATCACATATAAAAGCCGTCCAACCAAATTTTTATTTCCTTAGCAGAAGGTATAGATTTAAATAAAAAACAGAACTTTTTCTGTACTCCAGATACTCTGGCGTGAATATCTAACTTATTCCTCATTTTGATATAGCTGGTCATTCCATTAACTTGCCTTAAATGTCTTGCCAGTTCCTCCATCCTTGATGGCATCGGCATATTTCAAAATGGAGTAATCGTCATCGACGCTGGGCAGGCTGGCGTTCCTTAGCAACACCGTCTCATTGTCCCAGCCGTAGGTTGTCGCCGAGGTAAGGAGGAGCGTCCAGCCCCCGCCGTCACGCTCCATGTCACAGTAGACCGAGAGAGCGTCGCCATCCAACGTGATGTCATACACGCCGCTCTCTGGGGTTAAACCACGCCCTCGCTGGACGATGTTGTGCACATTGCAAGATGCGTACACTGAAAAGAGATATTTGACATCCATTCACGGATTTGCCAGATTACCAACCAACTGCCAATGGAAATTTCCAAAAATGTGTCACTTGACACATCTTTGGAAATGACATCCCTTTATTGTTTTCTTCAAAATGATAGCATGCCAGAAGGAATCATTTCACAGGGAGTTTAGTGCCATTACTACCTTTAAACCAAGTAAGCTTTTGAACAATGATTTGGTCAGTTAATTTTTGGATAGTTGCAAATGGTCCACTCTACCTTTAAAAAAATGTCAATTGGTTAGAACCGTGTTGTTGGAAAAGTGAAGAAGAGCTTAAATTCGATCTCTCCTTTATCAAAATTAGTCACATAAGGCCAAAAAAAGTCTCCGGTTTCCGGTATGGAGCTTGCCCCAAAAGTGGTGCAGCAGCGCGGCTTTTTTTTTTTGTTTTCTTGACTTTTTTTTTCCTTCAAATGTCGGCTGATAACTGCAAATGGTGCCCGACTAAATTTAGTGCAAAATGTATTGGAGCCCAGAGAGGCTACATAAAGCTTATGCTCGATCGTAACCCCATCTAAAAACACGTTAAAATTGTGCAGCAGCAGGATTCCAGTCAAACCAGTGAGTTTGGCTGTTTTGAGACATCATCTTACATTGAAATTTTTTTTTAAATTTTGCCGACGCACATGGCTACGGCAACGAGCACACATACTAAAAACCGGAGACCGTTTTTTGGGCCTTATATGATTTGTGGACAAATGTTAAGTTAATTACCGAGCTCGTAATAATCTGTGGTGTTATCACTGTCGAGGTCCACCATCTCCACGGTCGCCGACGTGTTGCTCAGGATACAGTCAGAGGTCACGGGGTCATATTCAAATGATTGACAGCTAGGGCGGTCCCACAGACACAGTAGCGCGCAATCCTTTGATGATGTTGTGTTGGTTACGGTCTCCATGTCCCGACCCGTCAGTGTGGCCTGGCCGGTCTTGTTGAAGAAGGTCAGCGGGTCAGCTGCCAACAAAAAAGGATTTTTTTTTTTTTTTAAAAATGAAATGAAACTATAGACCTAACCAACCTGCAAGGTTTTACAGGAAGACAGTACAGCAAAATCTCGATAAGTCAAACTCTGATAAGTTACAACAATTGTTTAGTCAAACAAAGAATCCAGTGCCTTCAGTAGTATAACAATGATATACAACCCTGCTCAACTCAAAACTCTGCTTAAGTAACATTTGAACCTGTTATCTTGAGGTTTGACTTATCAAGATTTCACTGTATATCCGGACACCACGTATAGGATCTACAACGTTTGTAACATCCTATTTTTAAAATTTATTTTGTGTCCTGACTGGGCCCATCCAATCCAGGGCAATAAATGCGTACTTCGAAAGGAAAAAAAGCATTACGATTTACAACATATTTAAAATACTGTGACTATACTAAATTGAGAACTTTTAAACTCAACTTCCGTTCCATCGATCACGCAGACAACAATTGTGTAAATTCTAACACGGGAGTCTGTGACTAGACTAGTCAGTGCTTGGTACCAGGATGATCGCATGGAAAATGAACGTGAACTGGCAAGACTTGCACGCTCTATTTATTGGGTACGCAGTTTGCTATTCATAATAACTCTTTGAGGACGACTGCATTAAGGAGTGCATCAGAATTATAGAATCATAGATGTCAGATGTAACAGGGACAAGAACAAAAAGTTGACCCCTATGTTATAGAATGACATATGTAAAGACACAGATGTTTTCGTTCTAGTGCTACGTAGACTTACCGATACGATCCCGGTATGGGTCCTCGCGACATCGCAATCCTTTACGACCTTGGGCCGGGGCGTCACATGATCGGCTGCGCTGCCAGGTACCGATGTCTTCGCAGGCAACTGAGCATGGTCCCCAGGAACCCCAGGAAGACCACTCACCATTGACTAGAAAAGAACAAATAATTTGTCCAAAATTGACAAATCATTTTTTATCTCATCATGTAAAAAACAAATAGGTTATGAAAGAAATTGACTAGGATGGGGCTTGAACTGCAACCTCAGAAACACTGCAGCTGAGCTCTACCAACTGAGCTATCCAGCACTATGCAGGCTTCTACCCAAGGGGTGGGGAGGGGGGCAAAAGACCGGTTCCAAATTGAACTTTTAGAAAACTAAAGCCCCGTTTACACAGGAGAGCAGTAACGGGAAGGTGGTAACTGAAAGAGGTATGCCACAAGATATTGTAGATTTACAACAAGTGCGCCAACCCCTTTGGTACGCAAATATTTATGTTAATGAGTACATACATGTACATACGTGATGATCCAGCAGCAATGAAAACATCTCATGTCGCACAAGAAAATGTCTCAGAATGCCTTCTTTTCTTATTACCTGGCATGTCCACTCTTGCTCCAACAAACTCCCAAATATCTTGGGGGTTTTTGACAGCATATTTATAAATTTCCAAACATGTTTCATAAAGGGTACTTCTTAACCTCGAGTATCAAACTCTCGGTGCTGCGTCTTCTGTGACGTCATTACCAACGAGAACGCTGATTGGCCAGAACGCACAGTCTCAACGCGGCATCTTTGAAAAATCGCTCAGGTTTCTCAATGCAGTGGTTTATCGCCCTACTGCGGTTTGTCCACTCTAAATGTAAACAACCCCATAGATAACCATGTGTTCTATATTTTTTACCGCGCGGAATTCCGTTACCGCTCTCCTGTGTAAATGGGCTTAAGAATGACCAACTGAAGCTGTCCAGCTGAGAGTGACCAGCTGTCGAACCTTCTGGCCAAGCTAGACTCAGCAAGCCTAAAGTCTTGTGGGTTTTTTTCTGGGAAAAGCATTCCAGTTTCATCTACTCTGAGTGTTCTTTGATGGTATGCAACGAAGCATAGAACTGGAGTTGACTGCTTGATGCAACAAAATGCAACAAGCATGGGATTAACTGCTTTAATAATGCAACGGAATGCAACAACTTTTCTACCACTGTTGTTTTCTGTTTTTAATAAAATAGCAATACCTGGTTCATAGTCTCCAAATAACTCCAATCTCAAGCTAATGCTGTTGTTCCAGTTGCGTGGCTCGATGCGTAGGTAGCGGACGTTGGGTATGGGTTCTGGAAGAGTGTTGCGCACCACTGAGCTACTGTCGTAGTTGGCTACCATGTACTGGGAGAAGTAATAAAAAGTGAATCAAAATCAAATGTCTATAGATCTTTCTATTTTGCTACATCATGGCCGTACTTTTGGTTTTTGCTAAAAAGTTGCAGACATCATTGATGGTCACCACTGCAAAGATTATTTTTATAAATACCCAGCAACTGTTCAAAAACTAAATGATCAACGGAAAAAATGAAAATTGAACCAATCAGTGCCGATAATACATTGTATTACATTGTATTTACAGTAGAACGCCGCTATACCGAACATTCGGCTATACCGAACATCATCCTTGGCCCCCGTTTTTATGTACAAAATGTACCGAACATTGTTGTTGAAAAAAGTCAACAGATTAACCCCAAAAAAATCTACCGGTTGTACACGTATTAAACACTGTTTGGGCCACTTTTAATTCCCGAACATCAAACGACCCATAGTTACATCGTGTTTGAATGTTGAAGGGCGATAGATGGCTATAACTTCCCCAAGGAATAGAAGGGAAAACCACCCATTGCTAAAGTTTCGTGGCAACTCCTCGTGCGGCTGCGGGATGTGAGAAATGCCACTTCACTATTGGTGAAAAGAGGGTATCGACGGTTCAAAATCGCTATACCGAACGATCATTATTACGAACAGTTTCTGTGGATCCAACGATGTTATATTTCTTGATGATGCCATAAATTCACAGAGTCTTGGGCGGTTTGGGGCAGTGTAAGCAGTATTACCGAAATTAGTTTACATAGTGGAGCACCGTGGTCCAGTGGTTACAGTGTACAAGCATTACATTCACTGTGTGGACTTCCGAACGAAAGAGGTCCACATAAACCAGGTAGCAGCGATGTTGTGTGGACTTGCCCACGTCCACACAAGGTTTCCCCCTCTCTGGAAAACAGGTTTAGAGGCATTTTGGGGTTAGGTTTATCTGTGGCAAAATGAAGAGAACAACACTCGAGGGAATCATGGGAAAAAAAATTGGGTTGAAAGAGTTTTCACAGTGTGAGTAAAATGAGGTTTTTTTCACAGGTTTCTTAACTAGACGAAAACAAAGGAATGTCCACACTAGGTATGTAACGTAAACATGGGTGTTTCACCAATGTGTTCTGGTAAGTGGGTCCGAAACCTGACTGGGAACATGGTGGTTGTGTTCTTGGGCAAGACACTTTACTACAATTGCCCCTCTCCACCCATGAGAATAAATGGGTGACTGTGAGTGTAGAGATCAGACTTTGTTCATCCCAAGCTGCTTCAGAAAGACGGTCTGATGAAGAGGGGTAATATTTGTGAAGCGCTTTGAGACTGTTGGTAAAAAAGCACTGTATAAACAGCACGCTATCATAATTATGATTAATTTTAGACCAGGATATTAAATATCAATTTACCTTGATTGTATCATTCTGCATGTAATACTCCCATTCCACCCCATCCGCTGAATACCTGATGATGTACCCAGCAACCCAAGAATCACAACAGGGCAAGCCAGAGGTAGCGATAGCCTTGACGGTCGCCGGCTCCTTCAGCGCTATCTGTAGCCATTCCTTTCTGCTGTGCTTGGCTGGTACCCAGGCAGCCGACGGATCTGTGTGGTAGAGGCGGGCGTGCTCACCACCGCACTGCCCAGTCTGGTTGACAGAGGAGACGGTGATTTGGGAGTCTGTGATCAGACCTGAGATGAGACCAAGGGGTTGGCCCTCTGGACCTATGTGGAAAAAGAGTAAAGTTTTTTTTTTAAATACTGATTTTGCTATAAGATTTTAGGCCTTGCATGGTATCAGTATCGTTTTGGTTTTTCGATAACACCATGTGGTAATAGAACTACTGTCCCTCAGTAGATTTAGATCTGATAAGAACTAGTCCTGCTTTTTATCAACTTTTGCTAAGTAGTTTAAGTTCTAATAGAACTGACAGTTTTAGAACTGTCCTGCTTTAAGTTCTAAAAGAACTTGTCTTTGGTCTCAACGTTTCGACTAGCCTGCTCTAGTCATCGTCAGGAAATGTTCTTTTGGATTCAAGCAAGACAGTTCTTATCAGAACTCAAACTACTGAGCGAAAGTTGACAATAAACAGTACAAGTTCTTATCAGAACTAAAGATCTACTGAGCGACAGTAGTTATTATACAAATAACGAATGTTTGTGAGTGCGATGGTAAGAATAATTTCATGAGGTGACAGATTGAATGTTCTATTCCACGAGGCGAAGCCGAGTGGAATAGAACATTCAATCTGTCACCGAATGAAATTATTCTTTCCATCGCACGAACGTAAAACATTCGTTATTTGTTTTATACAACACCTGAATAAATTCTCGTCATTTGATTGGTAAATTATAAACTACAATTTATTTTGATTTTAAGGATGTTGAACTACCCCTTCACGAAAATGTTTGAACCCAACGCTGTAGCGCTGGCTCTTTGGAACAATACGCGCTACGCTGAACGCGCACACCAGCATGCATTTTGCACGCAAATACCGCGTCATGGAACAAGCGCAAAGTGAAACGGTATAACGCATGGGTATAACGCATGGTCGCACCGTGCATTATACCGAATAATAATATGTCACGTGATCTACAATTCACCAATCAGATGACGGGGATTTATTCAGGTGTTGTATATTAAAACCACATGATAAAATACTGAAAAACGAAATGATACTGATTTTGCTTTGTAGTTTATAGATGAAAAGTTGTACAATCTATGGCAGATGATTGTGCTAACCTTACGCACTATTTCATTCTAATGATTGAATGCACATAGAGATTTCTAGTGCTCCACTTTTTTCCTCTGTGGTTTAAATGCAGTTTGCTGTGTTTACTGCTGAAGATCTTCATGAAATAGTCAACAGTTCTGTCAGCAAAAAAACTGTGTGCTAAGGAATGCATTGAACTTGGGCCGATGCCAAAATGCAGCAAAACAAAGATTAACTCAGACTACAGAACTGACTGCCTGATTAAGATGAAATTCAAGAAATGTGAAATTGATGTCAAGATGTTGATGCCTTCAGCAGAGGCCATTTCCAGACAATATGTCAGCTTGCTGTACGCAAAACTTTCAGATAGAGTCTGTTTTGAGGCAATGGGTGTGAGACGAGACGATAACAAAAAGGCGAAATTCAACAGCAGATTTGTAACGGAGACAATCACAAGTCAAATCACAAGTCATTTCACAAGCCAGATCACAAGGAACAAGGGTTTTGTGATGGCTTGTGATAGCTTGTGGTGGCTTGTGATGTATTGTGAGGCTTGTATTGGCTTGTGATGGCTTGTGATGGCTTGTGATGACTTGTGATAGCTTGTGATGGCTTGTGATGGCTTGTGATAACTTATGATGGCTTGTGATTGCTTGTGATGGCTTGAGATGGCTTGTGATGGCTTGTGATGAATTGTGATGAATTGTGACTGACTCAATTACAACTCTGCCCTCTTTCAATTAATGGGCCTCCTTAGTTAAGCAATAACTAACCTCGGCTCGTGCAATAGGCGTCATAAGTCTCGTTTTTATCCTTCAAGCCATCATTGTATATCCCGGCCTGCTGTGACAAGCTACAGGAACCGTTGGCCGTCTGGATGGGGCTTTGCACCGTGCCGTCAGCCAGCCAGGCCAGGCTGCATCCGTCCAGCATGTCCACAGACCAGGCATCGTACAGGTCTTCGTAGGATGATAGCTCGGCCCCTCGCTTGTTACATTCTTCTTTGGCCTGGTCAAAGGTCAGACTGCCACTGCCGGAGGAGCCGTTGATGCGATAGGTGGAGGAGACTGTGAGTGGGAGAGAAGTCAAGATTTGAGTCTCAAAAACTTAACAATATTTGTCAAAGCTGAGACATGATTTGATACCCGAGGTGTAGGCAAGTCAGGTCATATACCTACACTGGACTGCAATAGACCTGAGACCTAATGGCTCAATGGCTTTGTTTACATATGCGTTTTCCTATGGGAGCGAAGTTGGGACGCCAGACAAAGTAGGGACCGTCTACCACATGTAACATCATTAGGTTTCAGGCCAATTACCAAATTGTGTAACTGGTTCTCAGCTTCGTACACAACCTGTAGGATTTGCTACCACACTTGGACAGAGCAGTCTCCTTGGTTTAAGAATCAAGAGAATACGAATACTCATGTTACATCTTACAGCGTACGCGTCTAGTGTACGTGTTCTACATAACCCCCGAGGACAGACACACAAAGGGAAAACAACAGATCCTTTCAGTCCTCGGGAGTTGGGTTTTTTGTTCAAAACGGTCCCCTGTAGTAAGTTTGTGTGCTTAGTCTATGGGAGAGTGTTATATTACAGGGACAAAGAGAACCACAAAGCATTGTCCTAGAGAGTATAGTAAAACAAGAGTGGGAAAGATGGAGCATGGAGCATTCTCATTCTTGGCGGAAAAGCCTGAGCCGTTTAGTTTCCAATTATTTTTTTTTATTCGGACGAAAATTATTTTGACGTGGTATATTTTCTAATTATATTTTAATAACACCATTTATACTACAATGTAACTGGAATCTTCAATAAAAGAAACAGAGAGAAAAACGTACACTGATCTGAAGAAGGATATAATTTGCAATTGTGATATTCAAACTTCTTCACTGAAGCTGTACTACAGATAGTAAAGAAGGATATCCCTAGAGGATATCCCAATGAAAATTGGTACATATACTTACCTACAGTGACCTCAACTTCACACAGAGAAAGAGCAGACTCCCTGCGTTGAACGGCGACGTAGCGGCCAAACTGAGGGGTGCTACCCTGAACAACGAACAGGGAGTTGTTGCCTGATGTCTGTAAGTTCCCAAACCTCATGTTCTGAGAGACAGATTCCACAATGCCGACCCGCACAATGAAAGGTAGGACTCCATGATCTAACCGTGGAGAAATAAAGAGATAAAATGAGGTGTTCAAATCAAAGGCTTCTTGGACATATTTCATCAAGTGATACAGGATTCCCCCCCCCCCCCAAAAAAAAATCTGCCACCCACCCTCGTTTTCACAGCGTTCAAAAAAATACATCATAAATCTTGATACATATTTGAACAGTTAATTTCATTAGCTTTTCAACAACGAAAAAAATCCTCCCAATTGGGAAAATATTTATTGGGTTATGGCCAATTAAAAAAAGTGCCGCTTTTTCATTTTGTCCACGGTCTCAACTGTCACTTGTTAGGAATGTAATGGATTTGGAGTGAGGGTAGTTCTGCTTTTCTTAATTTTGTTATGTTCTTTCTTTGTTTGTGTCTTTTTAACTTTTTGAAACAATGGTCATTTCTCTTTTTGGGAAAGGACAATTTTGTTTAACATCTTAGATGATCACTGTTCTGCTCTTCCCTCTACTAATGGTTGCTTCTTTCACGGATGTCAATTTTGGCCCTAGTTCTCATTGCGGAAGTCAAGCATCAATCACCGTGGATAAAATGAAAAAGCAACATTTTCTTTTAATTGGCCACATTAAACTCAATAAATATTTTTTTTTCCAATCGGAAGGATTTTTTTGTTGTTGAAAAGCTAATGGAACTTTCTTTAAAACTAATTAGTGATAGATTTAAACTTGTGATAGACTTGTGATGGACTTGTGATGGACTTGTAATGAACTTGTGATGGACTTGTGATCGACAATTGAGCAGCAAAAATCGCAAAAAATACCAGAAAACAAACTTTACGTACCACATCTGTCTGTGACACAGTCATCCGACCTCCCGTGAACTCTGACCTCCTTGACTTGGTAGACCCCACCCAGGTCAACCCGCCACCATGAATTGCCCTCAGTGGTAGTCTGGGCGCAAGACCCGGCTGTCAGTGAGCCGTTAGTGTTACCATCCACAGCAAGCTGCGCTGATGCGTTGCCACGGACGGAGCTCTGCGAGGCTGGTCTGTTGAGTGCTACCCTGCTGAAAGTATCTGGTTGTGAAGACAAAGAGAGAGCCATCACAACTTGAGATGAAAAGTTACAGGCCTCACGATTCCCTCTTCATCAAGTTTTTAATAGTATTTAAAAATCAAAAATTAGGTCTTTTAAAGGTTTTCCAAATGCCAAAATATAGGCATTTTGTGCAATTCCACTGAAAGTAAACATGGCTGAAAAGAGGAACATTTATGACATTTTTCGAACTTCAAGCATCACAACCTGAAATGTGTTATCAAATAAAAGGGGACAACAAGACCTTTTATTTAAGTGGTTTGCCAGTGAGATACAATGTGGTTAAATGTACTTTTTTGTCCATAAAAAAATGGTTTTGGGGATAGTTATATTTTGTCATTTTGGTATCTAGTTTTAACATGCAAAATGCAAGTGTTATTGTGAGTTTTTTGAAAGGTTTACGTTTTATGAAAATATCACAAAGAACTTAGGATACCATGATTCAGTATGTGTTTTTATCACGTGTTTGAAGTTGATTTCAGACACGTCCGTAATGTTATAATGTAACGTCAATTAACAACAAAAAGCATGATCAAAGTTCCTTTTTTTGTAATATATCACTGGTGTTTTCATAGAATGAACCTATATTTTTCAGCAATTTTTCAGCATGAGGTAGCAGAAATATAGCGCACTGCTTACCTCAAGTTCTCCACACTAGATAAAGTTACCAATTTTATGCAACCTGCCAAATTTTGAAACAGTCGTAAACAAATATCTTGGAGAGGTAGGCCTATCTTGACAACGTGGTTATTTTATAATTATAATATAAAAATTAAACTAAACTGTGTGTCAACTTGAAACAAGTCGGGCAATGCTAGTAAAGCTGGTCCCAGAGTACACAACATTCTGTTCAATTTGTTTCCCTACCAAAGTAAACAATTCTTTTTGTGGGGGGGCGACTAAAAAGATGTAAATCTTACCTCTGCAGGTAATGTTGGAGTCGCATCCCTCCCTGATGTAAGCATCGCCAGGACAGTCCATTCCTCCAAACTGGGGGGTGGGATTTGTGCAGGGGCGATGTCTGTAGCGGACTCCATTCGTGCCACAGCGAGCAGTGCAGTCAGACCAGCCGAGCCAATCGCTATAGCCTCCATCAACTGAAAAGGAAACATGCATGTTAGTCTGAAAATAAAAACACAAAATTTCGAACAGCAATTTTTTTTTTTTCTGTCATTTAAAAGTTGCCCTCTCTGCATTTTCTACAAACTCAATTTTTTTTCTTCTTTTCAAACAATTTTTTGTTTAAGCCAATTTTTTTTTTCTCTCTTTTAGGTATCTCTGCAACTCTCTGTAAAAATGTTTATATTTTTGGTTGCTTTTCGTACTCAAACCCTCCTGCTGTTTGAACAGTAACGGACAGTCAAAAAAAATCAATCCTCTTCCCCTGCCATGCCTTTTACACAGGCTAGTCACCAATAGCCAGCTCATATTCCAAGCAAGCACTGTGACAAGTCAAATTCAGTCAACAGACAAAAGCAGGCAAGTGGTAGGCACAGCTGGCTTATCAATCACCTACAGTCAAAGCATAGCTGTATCAAGTTACATAAACAGTCACAGCCAGTCAATCCTGCTTTATGTAGGCTGGGAGCTCTTAACTGTTCAAAAACAGTCACTTGATCGATTTCGACTGAAAGGACAACTTGGCATAGAATGTATGTTTGCATAGGAGGGTTAAACTAATGAATAAAAAGGTCCACCTAATTTATTGTCAGGTGGCAGATTTGTTTTCATTCAATGTCTAATTAGAAAACAAAATAAATATTTTACAGCTAGAAAAATAGAAATTGAAAAATAATCTTTTTTTTTTTGGCAATCAAACTTGAAAATAGCGTTGGGAGTGGCCGTAATGTAATCCACACTTACTTGGACATCTCTGGGTGCCACACACCCTCGTTTCATTACTCGCTTGATCGGCCGGGCAGGCGTTGCCTCCGTAGGCAGGGGCGGGGTCAGTACAGGTCCGGGTGCGGTTCTGTGAGCCGACGCCCTCACACTCCACAGTGCAGTTACTCCAAGCCGACCACTCATTGTACTGACCATCCACTGGGCAAAAGAAATGGAATAATAATAATAAAATTAAAATTTATATTGCACGGTCTACATAAAAATGATCGAATGCGCATTACATAAAATACCACAGAAATTACATTAAAAAACAAGATTTAAAATTAGTTTCAACTTATGTTAAAAGAGGGGTAAACTACTGGAAAATATGTCAAGACAATAAAAAATTAACAATACACCAATACATGAACATTAACATTAGATAAAAACCAGTTGGAATGAAGTGTAGTCATTTGTAAACAGCAGCCCATTTCACAAAACTTTTACCAATATCATAAATCTAGTTTTAATATACCACAATTTTTACATCAATTGCGTACTATTTCGAGTTGCGCAACATTTCAGTTATTTCACGTTTCACAATAGTTCGCGACTTACATAACTTATGGTGTAATTATGTAAAGCAATTTTAGGTGGTGTAAGTTATGGTGTAGTGCCTTTAAAGGGACTATTTTACTGACTAATCGTGCAACCTGTCATTACAAACTTATCAAGGTTGTTTGATGTATACAAGAAACTCATAAATTTGTTTTTTCAAGTAAAAGAATTTGCTAGTTTACCTGTGACAGAAGTTTTAGACTTGCCGCGCGATTCCGAAAGAAAGTCGGACATAACTTTTTTTTTCCAAATGGCAGGCGGAAGTGATGCAAGGACCGTTTTTTGACAGAACAGAACTCATAAACAGCTGTTGTAGAAGCTGATATTATCCTCATCCAAGATGTTTAGATTATTTAAAACATTGCGTAGCTACGCTAAGTTTCGTGAAATTGACCGTAAGTTTACTGTGCAACTGTGCAACAACTTTGTTGCATTAATCCTAAACATGGCTTAAAATATGCGCTGTTAAAAATAATAATAATAATACCGGAGTCTTATATAGCGCACGTATCTACCAACAATTAGGTACTCAAGGCGCTGGAAATTATGTCTATTATTCAAGACAGGTAAATGAAGTTTATGAGAAATATGAGACCCATTATGTAGCACCTTATATAAAGGGTATATATACCTCACTGTTTCGTGAAATAAGCCGCAGATCCCACAAAATGAGTCTCGAGGGCAATAAGAAGTGCATAAGTTGTTCCTCATTTTGATTTATGACTCAGTTTGACATGTTACACATTTATGTGGGTGAAAAGATGTTCGAAGGCCGATTCCTCAAAAATAGCTCTGATGTTATGTGACTTATTTTCGTTGGTTTAAATTGGTTCGCACTTATGCTGATTGCGCTGTCACAGATTAAATTAATAAGGGTACATGATACGGGTGTGAAATTTGAACCTGCCAAATCTCTGACGTTGGCTTTACCTGGGCAGGGCGTGTCCTCGCTACAATTCTGCCACTGCCAGATTTCCCCGCTGCAGTTGAGACCCCCATAGGCTGGTTCCGGATCGGTGCAATTACGCTCACGGTACTGGGTCCCGCCTACACAGGTGGATGAACACACGCTCCATGCTGACCACATGGTGAAGTTGCCATCCACTGAAACAAAACAAAATTCATAGTTTCATGTATGATGTAAAAAAGAAAGAATGCTGCATCCTGACGCCACTTTTACACCATACAGGGTGCGTAAAAAACGAAACCCAAATTTCAAGACTATTGTTTTAGTGAAGTTCTGCATGTAGCACTTTCAAAATCTAGGATATGAAAGCCCAATTCATAAGGTTTCTTTTAGTACAAGAATCATTTAAATCACTCATGTACTTTTCAAGTTACGTAATTTTAAACACAACAACCATTTTAAAGTTCTGTCCACGGATCACAAACTTCTTTCAAATTTTATTTATAAAAAAATTAAATTATAATTATATCAAATACAAAGGGAAAAATGACCAGTTGCATGTTTAAGAATTATAAAACGAACAAAACAAATTGAATGTATTAGAATATGCAACCTCCATAATACTGTAGCTATATATCTGACCAATCCAAACCTTTATTGGCGATTTCCAAAAATGCCACCACTCAAATTCTAAAGACGAATGTTCAAAACCTAACCTGAAGTTTCAGCTCAGTGGATATTAATTACACTTTGCGAGTAAATAGTGAAAAACCATGCACAACCTTTTGATCACGAAACATGACTTTGTTGATAGCACTCTTTATTTCACCCAAAAATCAGTCAATTGACTGATCGTTGGAAATCACCTACATTTCTTAATTTCTTCTAAATGACAGCAAGCCAGACGGAATAATTTCACGGGGTGTTTAGTACCGGTACGATCTTTAATTCAAATAAGCTTTTTGATAATAATTTGGTAGGTTAAAGGGACACTGGGTCCTGGAACAGCCCAATTGGGCTACAAAACGCGCTTTGAACGAAATGATGTTTATCGGAAAGAACTTTTAAAAGTAGGATATAAACGTCCACACAACTATCCTTTAATTAAAACTGGGCTTTTTGTGTTTTTCCTGTATTATGCGTACGAGAACGAATTTCGGGGTCCACTTTTGCGACCCCAAAAAGTTGAGCTGTTAAAGTGCTAGTTGTGATTTCATCCGTAAAGTGTTCGCCTTTTGCGGACGTCGAAGAAAATATCTTTTGTGCATTGGTGATTGGTCACCGCTGTTCGAGACACACAAAGTGTATATCATACACTGAGAACGACAGGAAAAACGTATTCGTACTCCGTCGTGTCCGATGTAAACAACCAGCGGTTTTTTTTTTCTTTTCTTGGGAACGGTAAGACATTAGGTTGGCTTCCTTTCAACCAGATGTTTGAAATAAGCTAAGTAAACAATCCAAAACATGAAATTTTGGGGGATTTCAGGACCTAGTGCCCCTTTAATCCAAGTAAGTTTTTGATAATAATTTGGAAGGTTACTTTTGAGATAAATGCAAATTATCCAACATGCCTTAAAATACATTGTGTCGTCTAATTACCTGGGCAAGGGTCGATGTTGCAAGTCTCCGTGTCCGTAGCGTTTCCTGGGCATGTCTGGCCACCGTTCTGGGTCCGGGGGTTGTCGCACTGTCGCGTGCGGTTGCGCGTACCGCCCCCACAGGTAGTGGTGCAATCAGTGAAGTTACTCCAAGTACTCCATGCACCATTGACTGTAGAAACGAAAGACGATTTGAAAGGAACTGAATGAATGATGTAACAACATGCAGCGTAGTAGATGAGACTATTTCTAAGACCTCAAAACAAAATGGGATGTGGTCTTTCAAAACCAGACATTTTGAGGCAGAGCCTGAAATAGATATACGACCAAATGATGTCAGATTTTGTGTTTTGAATATGAAACGATGATAGTGATTTTTGTCTGTTTTCCCGTGTGCAGATTTTCGTTAATTCATGAAGGCAGGAAAACGTTCAGTGGTGGACAGCTGAATTTTGTGATGGTTTTATTAACTTAGACATGACTTGGGAACATAGTTGCAAATTACTTGAAATTTTCAAAGTTACTAGTCAATAACATGTTCCTATGTTGTTTTTATTTAAGTCAGCCACATATGTTCAAAAATATTTGTTCTCTTTATTTTTGACTCATCCTGTATAAACAAAGTTCAATATAACATTCTATAGAACACCTGACTAAATGCCCGTCATCTGATTGGTCGGTTGTTGATCACGTGTCATTGAACTATTCATCCCAACCCACGGCCCGGCCGCACCCCAAAAAAAAAATAGAACTTCTATTCCACAGTAAGTAGAAGTTCCATTCCAAACAAATAATGTTTCACACTTGTGCAATGGACAGAATATTTCCTTTCGGTGACAGACGGAATTCCACCTATCACCTCACGAAAATATTCGTACCATTCACTCATAAACAATCACTATTTGTATGTGCGACTCTCTTACTTGGTAGGCACGCGTTGCCGTCCGTGCCACAACCGACTATCTCCGTTGTATTGCCTACGCAGTCGTCTCCTCCGTATTGCGGTGCCGGGTTCGTGCAGTTGCGTGTGCGGTTCTGAAGTCCGCCGTGGCGAATCGTCTCATCCTCGTCATTGTAGACTGTGTAGCATGTCACGGTGCACTCGTCGTACGCCCATGCTGTGAAGTTACCATGCACTGTGTATAAAGAACAAAGATGAAGTTTTGATATTTTTGCGAGACTTGTTGATAGCTTTGATGAGTTTTACGTTTTATACCCATTTGTTGGCACTACATTAAGACTGACTAAGGATTCTATATCTGTGATTTGTGGGTATACATTGCCTGTCCCTGAAAAATATGGCATTTTTTAAAATTGTGCTCAGTTTTCAGTATTATATCAGTATTATACCAGTATTAATTTATATCAGGATAATAACAGTATAGTTTCAGTATTATAACAGTATAGTTTCAGTATTATATCAGTACTATATCAATATTATAGCAATATTATATCAGTATAATTTCAGTATTATATCAGTATTATATCAGTATTATGTCAGTATAATATCAGTATTATATCAGTATTATGTCAGTATTATGTTAGTATTATATCAGTATTATATCAGTATAATATCAGTTTTGAGCCACAAGCTCATTATCAAAAGGTCAGGGGTTCGCATCCAGCTGCTGGCCATATGTTGTGTCCTTGGGCAAGCCACATCAACCTCACTTGCCTCTCTCCACCCAGGAGTATAAATGGGTACCGGTATTAGCTGGGGAGTAACCAGCGATGGACTAGCATCCCATCCAGGGGGAATAGAAATATTCTCTGTCATTTCACACAAAGGAAACCAAGAGATAAACGCCGTTCTGTTGAGCCATATTGGCTCGGGAATAGACTTTACATTTTTTTGGTGACTTACCTGCTGGACACTGGCTGCCACATGATTGGCTATCCGTAGCATTTCCCGGGCAGGGATCCCCACCTAAGATCGGTGCTGGGTCGGTGCAGGTACGGTTGCGGGTCTGCGTACCCATGTTGGGGGCTTCATCGCATGTCTGGCTACATTCACTCCATGCACTCCAGGCCGCCCAGTTGCCATCCGCTGCGGGTCAATAAGAAGTCAGTGGTAACTATATTATCCTCAAACAAATTTTGGAGCTCTGTTTTTGATGGAAACTTTTTCAGGCAGACCTACTGGCTGTGTTTAAAAAAGCAACAAAGTCGGCATCAACGCCGAAAAGCTTACTTTGCGTGATCTCGCAGACGTAACCGTACGAGTCATTGCAGTCCTTGTTCCCAAACTTCCACTCCCACGTTGCATGGTTATACATGAGCACCACGCACTCGTCCCCAGAGCTTGTTGGATAGTTATTCTTCCAGGGGTCGTCGCTACCCCAGGACGTGAGATTTGGACTTCCGATGCCGTCGTCAAAAGCTATGGAACTGCTCTCATACTTCATGCCTGAAAGATGAAAAACAAATATTGTACTAAGACTGATCTAAATTTTTCAGTTCTGCAGAAACACGAGACCTGCTTTAACAGAATGAGAATTAATTACAGATGACATTATTACAGAATGAATGATTTTTATTAAATTGTTTTGTGGAAGGCGCCCAATGGTTTCCACCAAAGCTAGATCTCAAAGCGTTTCACAATTATTACCCCTGTTCATCAGGCCATGAGACCACATTTCTGCAGCCGAGATCAGCACAATCTGGTCTCTACCCTCACATGTACCCATTTTTACTCCTGGGTGGAGACAGGCAATTGTAGTAAAGTGTCTTGCCCAAGGGCACAAGCACCATGTTCCCCGTCAGGGTTCGAACTCAAGTACCATGGCACATGAGCGAACACAAAACACTGGACCACTACGCACCACAATTACACCCCTAATACCTGTGTAAAAGACGTCGGCCAAGTCAGTGTTGGCATTCTTCAATTTCCAGCTCAGGACGACCATCTCGGTTTGAGCGTCAACATGGAGAAGATGGCCCGTGTAGTTCGTCATGGACACGCAGGATGAATTAGCGCCCTCGTAGTCCGTAAAGAGAGAGGAGTTGGTCAGCATGTGGTAGCAGCTGTCGTAGCCAGCCTCAAAGTCATCGGGGCAATTGACTGCAGATTGGGGGGGGGGATGAGGAAACAAGATCAAATTATCCATGAAAAATCCAGGGGTTGAACATGGTAAAGACTAATATAGTAGTTGTTCCAAGCTTTTTGTCCGACTACATTTTAAAGGCATACAGGATCATTTGCATTTATCCCAAAAGTAACCTACCAAAATATTATCAAAAAGCTATACTTGGATTAAAGATCGTACTGGTACTAAACACCCGGTGACATTATTCCGTCTGGCTTGCTGTCATTTTGAAGAAATCAAGGAATGTAGGTGATTTCCAACGATCAGTCAATTGCCTGATTTTTGGAAATACAGAGCGCTGCTGAAGAAATTGTGTTTCATGATCAAAAGGTTGTGTTCGATTTTACACAGTTTTCAAGGAAAGAGTAATATCCACTGAACTGAATCTTCGACAGGTTAGGTTTTGAACATTCTTCTTTAGATTTTGAGTGGTGATAATATTGGAAACGAACAAAATGCATGAAAAGCAAATTATCCTATATGGCTTTAATCAGGGTAATTACATGGGCATCCCCCTCCCCCCTCTTGCTGGAGCGTAGCAAATGGGGGAGGGGGGCTTCTGGGGGCTGTGACACCCCCCAATAATTTCTCTCGGTATGCATTAAGAGCCTTTAGTTGGAGTGCTGTGGCCTCGTAGTTAAGGGCACTGATTCGTGGCCTGCGGGTAAAGCTGCAGGTTGTGGGTTCGAGTCCTGACGGGGTCATGGTGCGTGTGCCCTTGGGCAAGGCACTTTGTCACACATTGCTTCTCTCCACCCAGGAGTAAATGGGTACCTATGAGGGCAGAGATGGTTATTGTGATTGATTTAGCTTCCTTGCGCCTAACAGGCTGCATCGAGCTGTATACTCCCCAGGGAGCTGAGATGGTATATGGAATGTTTAATTGGCCCAATGATTAGGGGTAATAATAATGTAAAGCGCTTTGATCTTAGTTAAAAGCACTATATAAGAACCTCTTATTATTATTATTATTATAAGCAAATGAAAATGTGTAACACCCCGGGCGGTGCTACATGGGTGTGTGATGGCCCCCCCCCCCCCCAATTTATCCTTGTCGGCAGAATCGTGTGTATGTCAGCAAATACGCTCCAAGGAATAGGGCCATCAATTGTGCGACAGTGTCCAAGATCGTCTGCTTTGAACAGCACATGGTGTTCCCCTTCCAAACCACTTTAAGATTTTGCGTCAGCCAGGTGACCAGAAAAAGTGACTACCTTCCAGAACGAAAGGTCAGTCAGCAAATTGCTGTTACACCCCCTATTCAAATTGGTCTGGCCATGCCCCTGACCAAGTATTTTATTTCATCATTTTATGACTTGCAGAACTACACAGAATGTACTTTCTATTTCACATATGACTTACCTATAGGGCAGGGGAAGTCACACACCCTTGTATCATTGTGACTGCCGATGCAGTCATTCCCTCCAAGTATGGCCGGTGGGTCGTCGCAGTACCGTAGCCGGGTCTGGGTGCCTTGGCCACACGACTCAGTGCATTCACTCCAGGCCCCCCAGGAACCCCAATTACCATCACCTTCATGTCATTCGGAGAGAAAAATACCAATAAAAAAATTTAAATTACAAGATACGTACAATTAAGAACCCACTTCTGTCAAAGTTTAGGAAAATATACTCAGTCTTGATTTGAGTTAATCAGTTGCCAAATAAACTAAAACTGTGACAGTTGTCAAAAAGACTTCATCCAATTTTCTACAGGGAAAGAATTTGCTGGGATCAAAACATCAGGCCATCTAACTGTTATGATTTCTACAGTTCTGGTGTTTGCTTACTCACTTAAAAATAATTTTGACAAAAAGCTCAATTTATGCACAATACAGAATGTAAAATTGTTCAGCACACATACCCTGTGTTATCTCACAGATGTATGACCGCTCGATGTCACAGTCAACGTTTCCAAGTAGCCATTCCCATGTTGGATTATTGTACACCATTCCAATGCACTCTCCCCCTCCAACTGAATCAGGAAACCCCCGCGCCCAAATGGAATTGCCCGGGTAGGTCGCCTCATCCGGGCTGCCACTCGCAGAATAGAAGTCCGCATTGGGGTCGTTGTAGATCATCCCAGCGTAAACCACGCTCGACGTGTTGGTCTGGTCGTTCTTGAGACCCCAACTTAGGAATTCCTGTTCCGCGTAGTCGTCGACATGAACCAGGCGGCCGGTGTCCGAGGTGAGGTCCACGCAAGACGAATTTGCAGTGTCAAATGACAGCAAGTTGCCAGAACCGCTTATGGTTTTGAAGCAGCTGTCGTAGTAAGCCTCAAAGCCATTGGGGCAAGTCACTGTAAAAATACAGAAAATTTAAATTATATTTTAATGGAAATACTTTATTCTTCTTTCAAGAACAGTTGGCAAAGGTTTGATTCTCTTCATATCTCTGAGTTGAAAAAGTAATTTTTTAGGGTTGCTCAGATGTATTATTTTCAAAGTACTTTTGGAGAAGATTTGCTGAAGTGTAAACAATTCTGTGGAAAAAAATTTTGATGGATGGGTTAAGATTTTTCAGGAGACCTACAGCCCACAAAATATTCAATTAGCGGTACATATTAAGTTTTTTTATAGCAGGGTACAGGCATAGTAAACAAGTCCATCACAAGTCATCACAAGTCAATAACAAGTCAATTGCAAGTCAATCACAAGTCAATCTCAAGTCAATCTCAAGTCAATCTCAAGTCAATCACAAGTCAATCACAAGTCAATCACAAGTCAATCTCAAGTCAATCTCAAGTCAATCTCAAGTCAATCAAAGGTCAATCAAGGCGTTAGTTTTTTGGGGGTTTATCCCACTGATCTCTATAAAGACTAGATAACGTATGCCCATACACAGTACATGTACTTGTTTTCAGCGAGTTTGACCAGTTCGCCCTGGTCTTCCAAAAATGGCCGCCGGCACAGCATCAAGATTCGACGTGCATAATCACATACACATACTACGATGTTCTAAAAAGGACAAGTTGCCATCGTGATTATATTTCCAAATGTTGCAAGAAGTGAACTGCAGCATCCAAAAATTCAACCGCGGCATTTGGAAACTGTGAACCGTAGTCAGTGGTGGTGAACAAAAGGTAAACCAGGTGAACCACGATGTTACAAAAGTGAATCACAACTGCCTAAGACGGCAAGTTGTCCTTTATAGAACATCAGCCAGTCTTTCCAATATGGCTTTAAATGAATTTCTTCTGCGGTGTCTGTACGCTATCCAGTTTTTATATAGAGATCAGTGGTTTATCCCTTGTAAGTTTTGACGTAGTTATTAACTTAAGATTAAGATGTGATGTTAATGTTCAAATAAACTGAGACAAAGGCATATCCTGTTACTTGTGACATCAACACTCAAGACTCAACTTCTAAAACCCAAACAAGAATTTAGTTGCTACACAAATGACCCTGACCAACGTACATCGACAACTTTCTAGGTGTTTGTTCGACTTGGAACAGACACAGAAACAGACCTGACATGTGACGGACGACTTGACCAGTGACAGTTAGTCCCCTGACAATCTTACCGATAGGACAGAGGATGCTGCAGTTCCTCATACTGCTGTTACTTCCAGGGCACTCATCGCCATCCAGGACTGGGGCTGGATCATCACACTGTCTGTAGCGTGTCTGCGTACCGTTACCGCATGATTCACTGCACTCTGCCCAGGAGCCCCACGATCCCCAACTGCCAGGAGCTAGGGAAAACAAAATAGTAGCATGAAACGATTTGACACATTGATGTGTTGCATTGAATCTTTTGACGATGACATCGAAATGTCATCTGCAGGATGGTGCAATAAGAAGGAACCCCACTTTTGACAACAATTTCAACCTACTTGTTGAGCATTTCAAAAATTTTATATAAGGCCAAAAAAAAATTAGTCGGTCTCTGGTCAGCGCGCTCGTCGATTTTAATCATGCGCGTCAATCTTTTTTTTTCCTCCAAAATGTTCTGCGGTAGCTCCAACAGCGCCCTCCATTGCCGCACCTCCTCAATTTTTTTTACCAAAGAGCACCAAGGAATGGGAAATTGCACCAAGGCAAATGATCGAGAGCACCAAGGCAAATTATGAAGGACACCAATGTACATTGAGGACACCAAATAGCAAAATAGTACCCACCTTGTCTGTACAATCCAAGCTTTGAAGAAGAAAAAAAAAAGCCGCGTCCCCGCGTCAATTCCGGAACTTTGGTCTGACCAGAGACCGAATATTTTTTTTTTTTGGCCTAATGGTATTGAAATATACATCTTTAAACATAAGTGACGAAAAAAATAATTGCAAACGCGTATTTTGTCTCTGAGATATGGTAGTTTAAAATTGTCTTGTGCTTAACCTGTTTGACCACGGACGGCTTTATTCCATCCGCTTGACTGAGCTCCAGAGCTTGATTTGAAGACCAAAAACACTAAACTAGACTTACACATTGACGACAGCGTTTTTTGGTGACTGTATTGAAACTAGCATAATAACACAATTCTTGAAATTTTTTGGAATTTTTTTTTCACCATGTATGGTTGAAGAGCTATAGTTCACTACCTTATAAAAAAAAAACAGTTCAAATCAGTTAAGTAAGTAGGTTAAAATTCATGTCAAATGTGGGTTTCCTTATTTTTGCACCGCCCTGTATACTGCAGTGAAGTTTGTAAGTTTAAATTGAAATGTCAATGTTTACACACTGATTTTTGCATTGCTATGCAGCCTCATTAGATTTTCAACACAGCAACACTCCACACTTCTCCATAATAATTTCATACATAAACCCTAACACAAGCAACATAATAAATGTTGAAAACTAGGGGAAAAGCCTAATACTTAGCAGCACCAACCTTGAGTTAATTCACAGACAAATCCCAAGGAGTCATCGCAGGAAGCATTGGCCAACCTCCATCTCCACTCGGGTTTATCATAGACGAGCCCCACGCAGGATGAGGCACTAGTCTCTCCATAGCCTGCAGCCCAGGGTCCAGAACCAGACCACAATCCCTCGTCCACCATCTCAGTCCCATTGTTGTAAGTCAGCACTCCGGATTCGTAGTCCAGTCCGACCCAGACCATCTCAGAGTCTGTGACCTCTGAGTCGTCCAATCGGAAACTGACAAAGTCCAGCTCGTTTTCTGATTGGACGTAGGCCAGGTGGGCGCGGTAGGCAAGGCGGGCGCAGTAGGCTTGGGCCTGATCACGTGATCGGTAGACATCAGGATCATCGATGACGGAATAGCAGCTGTCGTTGTGGACCGAAAAGCCAGTAGGACAGGTTACTGTTGAAGGATAAAGTGACGCAAAATAAACCAATACAGTGAAAACTCGATAAGTCAAATCTCAAGGGAATGGATAAAAACTTTGAGATATCCAGAGCTTGAGTTAAGCAAGGTTCCCAATTTTTCTAAAATCCTGTACATGCATGTACATGATAGGCCAAAATATGACCTATCCTCTTTTCTTTTGTGCACTTATTTTAAAAAATATTTACAAAGCATTCCATGTGCCACTTCTTCTTTTAACTAGTGTGAATTTTAGAAGTTTGTTCGAGAAGCTAAAGCCGGCCTTGGGTAATGCTCAGGTCACAAAACTGAGAAATTGTTCAATTCCTGTGGAACAAGCGGCATCTCAACACAAAATAATCGCAACCATGCTCATGTCACCCACGACAGGACAACGATTGCACGGCACAGACAGTCATGTGACTTCTTTAACAATAGCGTTTAAAACGTGTTGATAACAGTCAAGCGACCTTACACGGCCACATCTGTTCATTCAGCCATTTTTGCCACATGCTGATTGGCTACACAACTGTGTTTAATTCCTGCCTGTCAAAAACACGTTTCAGAAGTTGAATTTTTCTATTGCGACTGTGGATTTTTTTTCAGAGCCGACTGATGCCGATCATTTTAATATCGTCACAGTTACACTCAAGTCGCAAAAAATATCGGCGACTACTTTGTTCCTGACAGTCGTAGCTTAATTGATCCTGAAAAATCAGTCGCCGACCGTTCTGTGTCGTCGCAAGGTCGGTCTGAGGGCAGCTTAAGGGCGTACTCTACCAAACTGTACCTATAGGGCATATAGACGAGCAGGCTCTAGTGTCTTCAACAGCACCAGTGCAGTTAGGTCCGCCTAGTATCGGGGCGGGGGCCTCGCACCAACGCTCTCTGGTCTGGTTCCCTGCTCCACAGGTTGAGTTACACTCTCCCCAGGCCGACCAGGTACCCAGGACGCCACCAGCTGTCAAACATAAGGATGGACAATGAAATTTTGAACAACCATTTGTGAGAAACAGCTGCAAAATGACATGGGGTTATTTTCAGCGATTTTGAGATTTTTTGATATTGTGATGTTGCTACTAATGCTTAAATTGTTCTGTAAAAGTTTTAAACTGAAATTTCATTAACAAAGTATTTTTTTTCACCAAACTCAAATTCATAGACCTGTTTCTCATTTTTGATATGTTGGACAGTCCGATTTCAAAATTTAATAATTTCACTTTGGATTTCTAATTTCAAAAACCAAAGTAGCATTTGAAATGAGTAAGGTGTACGTTTATATTGAGATTGTTAAAGTTATTTCTACAAATGAAATTGACACTACTGTGATCACTGTCTCCCGACCCCCCTCCCCCTTCCCCCCCCCCCCCCCCCCATTGCAATTGCATATTTCAGGCCGGTTTATGCTTCGTGCAAATGCAAATGTGCAACGAATTCCACGAGATATTCACCGCAAAATTCACGGCTTCCTACTCACCAAGATTGACCTCACAGATGTAGCCAAAGCTCCCCGAGCAATCGCCCAACTCCCATCGCCAGGTGGTCCCATTCAACGCCAGCTGTATGCACCCGCTGTCCCCCACCCCAGGGGTACCCTGGTCCCCCCAGGGGGATTCCCCAGCCATCTCCCACGAGCTACGATTCAGCGGTCCGGCACTAGCAGCAAAGATCCAATCAAACGTTGTGTTGCCTGAGGAGTCCAAACGATTCCCAGTCAGAAACGTCGCGGTCGTGTCGGCGTAGTGATCAAACAGCATCTTGCTGATGAATGTCTCTTCGGCCAGGTCGTTCACAAGGATCATGTGACCTCCGTAGATGGTCAGATTCTGACAGGTTCTTTGCGCCTCGTCGTAGGAAGCTGATTGGTTGATTTGGAGGAGGTAGCAGGTGTCATAGTTGGTGACAAATCCATCCGGGCATTCCACTGAAACACAAATAGACATATGAAATGTTTATCACATGATTTGTCTGAGCTAATATTTTAAGAGAATCATCGGTGTAATTTTAAAAGTGTTTAATTTCAGGTGTTGCATATCTTAGATACAGCTAGAGGTAAGTTCGAGGGAGGACCAATCACTCGGCTTGTAGTTGATTCGTAAAGTAAAACAAGCTTGAGCACTCGCAGCAGCATGCGAAAGCCTCTAGTCAAATGCTGTTCAAAACGTCATCACAAAACTTTTTGGTCCTGACTTCCTGTTGTACATTGGGATGCTTGCGGCTATTGGAATTCGTAGGAGTGAGGATGATTCCTAGTAAATCACTCTCGGGGTTAGGTTTCAATATAGCTTTATGGCCAAAACATGAGTGTAATTGTTGCAAAGTCTACATGTTATTGAATGTTTAGTGGACAGAGTTCACCGATCGGACTCACCGATTGGGCAGATGTCGCCACATACTTGCGTCTCATTGGTCGTTCCATTGCATGGGTTGCCGTCCAGTAGGGGTGCCGGGTTGGTGCAGGTGCGGGTACGTATCTGCACCCCTTCACCCGGACCACAGGTCACACTACAGGCACTCCAACGCGACCACTCACTGTGGCCACCATCAGCTGGGGTGGAGAGGGGGGGTAGAATAAAAAGAGTGTTACAACAATTTATTTGTACATTCACAGATTATTTATTTTATTTTATTTATTGACTTAATTCTTATTTTAACTGGGTAGCCCATTCAGTGGAATCCACTGATCTCCCATGGGGCCCAGTAAAGAGAAGACAATGAGAAGAAATTACAGTTTTAGATGTGGGAGGAAAAGCCCAGAAGAATATTCTGAGGAAAACCCAAGGAATCAAGTAGGGATTGAAAATCCAATCCACATATTGGCCCAGGCAGGAATCGAACCCGGGTCACAGCGGTGGAAGGCGAGGAAAGTACCGCTACACCAAACTGACTCCCCAAGTCAGAAATTCATAACATGGGTGGCATATGTGGCGTGAAGCGCTCTCCTCTCACCACTGTGGTCCGGGTTAGATTCCCGGCTCGGACCATATGTGAGTAGAGTTGTTCATTGATTCTCTCCTGTGCCACAAGGGTTTTTCTCTGGGCTCTCCGGTTTTCCTCCTTCCGCAAAACCAAACACTTTCGATCTCTGGCTGTGCTCCCATGGTCGTATGGCGGCTGCCTAAGGCGCCTTTACATGCCTTCGGCTCGACCACGTTGTAGCTACGTCCTTCGGAATTTAGGACGATTATGGCAAACAAAGTGTGGACTAACAAAATTTGGTCAATTGGGGGCAGTATTTCTTAATAACCTGAGGATTTTTAATTGTACAGCGCTTTGTGATGTCTTTGTTACATGGAAAGCGTTTTCTAAATAATTCGTATTATTATTAGTATTTGAAAACAATTCAGTTTTTGTCCAACGATAGTTGGCCGACCATCATTGGAAATTGATAAAAAAAATTCCACTTTTCTTGAAAATGACAGCACACCAGGTGCCATGATTTCACAGGATGCTTGAGACTATTATTCACTAACAGTCAAGTACTTAGGCATTTGGTAGTTTTTATTATTTTTTTCTTTGCGAATAATATACATTACCTTTTATAACGAAATAGATCCACCTGAATCATAAATGCAAATAATTTTAAATTTGTAACTTATTTAATCCATGACAAAGCAGATTTTTCATTTTATGCTTCACTAAATAACTCCAGTATTGTAATACAAAAAAAAGTATATTTTTTTGCATTTTAGCAACGAAGGAAGAGACCTACTTCTGTTTTGTTCACAGATGTATCCCTTGCTAGCTGTGCAGTCCAGATTTCTCCACTTCCAATCATTTGCTTCTTTGACCATGCCCGTACATTCCTGACTGCCGCTGGGGTAGCCGCTGGCCCAGTAGTCTACGCTAGAGCCGTCAATGTTCCACGTGGAAAGCACCGGCCCCCCGCTGTTATCATCATAGGCTATGTCCGATCCGTTGTACTTCAACCCTAGAAATCATGACGACCAACGGTGAACATTAGTGAGGCGGAAGTTTGAACAGCATGTCAAGGGCTCATTAAATCACCCAATTTATAATCTGTAAAGTTGACAGGACATTGCAGATCAGACAGGGCATGCAAAGTAAAACTCTGATTCTTTCCATTCTCCTCACAAACCATACTTACTTTCACAAATTGTGTTGTTGCAAATTTCGCCATGCTACAAATTCTATATACATAGTGTGGTTGTGGGGACCCTCTGTTGTATCAGATTCGAACCAGCCAGCCGACCCCGGCAAGCTCGGTGGTCGAGTGGTAAGACGTCTGCACTAGTAAGCAGGAGGTCGTGGGTTCGAGTCCCACCGAAGTGATTTTTTTCTCACAATCACTCGGGATAACTCTTGAGTATACAGTGTTTATAAAAAAAATACAGCGGTGAAGGGCAAAACTCAATATTGAATTTCTTGAACAGTTACCCTTCTGTAAACCTCTCAAAGAAATCACCTTATTAACCAATTTGCGCTGGGACTATTTTTGCCCAAAATTTTGATTTTCGCAAAAGGCAAAATTTTTCAGCCAATTTCTGATTTACAGCCAAACGCCACAACAACTGATTCGACAGAGTCATTTTAACAGTATTTCTTCGATATTTCTTGCCAAAACTTCATGTTTCAATACAAAGGTGTGAACTGGTGTGCATAAATTGTACAGTATGTCGTGCACGACGGCCAATTAAGATCAACACACGGTCCGCCTCCACAGACTTCACAGATTTTGCGTGTATGTACAAAAGACACAAGGGATTAGCGTGTTTAGACCCAGAGGCGAGTCGAGGCAATCTTGACATTTTAACCCGTCAGCCATGCCTGTGTATAAACACAGCCAGTGCATGTTATCACATCCTCCGACACGAACTGGTTAAGAGGCAAAATCATGGTCTGAAACTTTAACAGTATATTAATAAACCATACTTTGAATCAAAAATTTGCCCCAAATAAAAACAACGAATCTTGAGGGAAAAAAATTTGAGCCTACTTTGGTTTTTAATCAACTCCTTTTCAAGCTCTACCCAGAAGCATCTGATTTTGAGAGAACACAACAAATATTGAATACGCTTCTCCTGGTACTTACCCATAAAGACCACACCAGAGACACCCAACTGGTTCAAGGCATCGCTGATGACAATCTGCTCTTCGTAACTCCCAGGGTAGGCCAAGTGGCCGCTGAGCGTATCGCAGGCTGCAACAGCGCCCTCATAGTCAGTGTGATTCAGACTGTCGGACACGATGCTATAGCAGGCAAACAGACCTTCAAAGAAGCCGTCCTCGCACACAACTAAATAGTAGACAAGAAACCATGAGTATAGATTTCATCTTTGAAAAGGGAATTCAGCATTTTTTGGAAAATCACCGTAGTATCTTCACAAAAAAGAGGTATGATTTCTGATAGTCACAGAATTTAGCACCAAAGATATCACTTGTTTAACTTCATCTTTATTGTTTTGCACTAGTACAGGGTGGTCCACGAAAAAGTTTACACTTTTTCAGAGGCAGATTTCTCAAAATTGAAGAGACATGTTGAAATTGTTTTAAGATATTCCTAAACTGCAATATCTTGGTTGTATATGATTAAAACATCGTTGGAAATTAAGCTCAAGTTTAAAAATAGCAGCCATTTACAGAAGAATGGTCAAAAACTAGTTTGTCCACATCTATGGCAGTCATGTAGACCTAATTACAATTATTGCAGTTCTTTGTGCATGCAGTGCTGTTGTGTTGACCATATCTCACAGACTTGCATGTGGATAAACTGATTTTTGACCATCTTTCTTTAAACCATCACCATTTCTTAATTTAGGCTTTATTTTCAGCGCCCTTTTCACCATATGCCACAAAGATGCAGAGTTTAGGAATATCTTGAAACAATTTTAACATGGCTCCGCAATTACAAGAAATCTGCATCTGAAATAAATCTGGAAAAAAAATTCAGCAGATTTGAGTTACCTGTGAAATTCTCACAGTGCATGCCTTCGTAGCCATACGGGCATGTGCAGTTGTAGCCGTCCACTAGGTCTGTGCAGTTGGCGTTATTCTGGCATGGGTTCGATAGACACTCGTCAATGTTGACATCACAGAGTGTGCCTAAAAACAAAGACAAAACTGTTACGGACAAGTTCACAAGTACCCCTTCAACGGTTATGAAGGTAGAGTTGGGGATTAAATACTCAAAAAATAAAATTAAAATAAATTGTAATGCTTAGATAGCGATTTCTTTTGTATCAACAATCTAAAAGTGCTTTACAATTATTCCCCGTTCATCAGGCCACGAGACCACGCAGCAGCCGATATCAGCGCACATTCGGTACTCGACCCTCACAGGTACCCATTTATACTCCTGGGTGGAGAGAGGCGATTGTAGTTAAGTGTCTTGCCCAAGGGCACAAACACCATGTTCCTGGCAGGGTTCAAACCAACGCATCATCGTACATGAGTCAAACACCATAACCGCTGGACCATGGCATTCTGAGGTGGTATTCTGAAAAAAAAGATCAGTCTTGAACCAAGACTAGCCCTGGTCCGGGGAATACATAGACTCACCGTTCCAGCCTGATGCGCAGTCGCAGGTGAAGTAATCTACATGATCCACGCAAGTTGCGCCGTTCTGGCATGGATTGGACGCGCACTCGTCAAAGTTCACCTGGCAGAAATCGCCCACGTATCCCGCCGGGCACGTGCAGGTTACGTTCCACACAGCAGGGATGTCGTCCACGCAGGTACCATTGTTCTTACACGGATTAGGCTCACAGTCCACTGAAACAAAAACAAGTGTAATCAATCAATCAATTAATTAAAACAGGTACAATTCTGACAAACTGAGGAGTCTCACAAGTGAAAGAATACAAAAGTGAGAAAATACAAAAGTTGCATAGGCTTCCATTTGATAGAGATTTGTATTTCTCTTACAATATCACAATCACATGCAAGTTTCAGTGATTTCTACTTCTATGCAGCTACTCGTTTAAAGCCTTTTCAGCAACTTAACAAGGATACGCAAACCAATGTGGTTAATTGTGTGTGGAAATTTGAATCTTAGGCCAAAAAAAAAAATATTCGGTCTCTGGTCAGACCAAAGTTCCGGAATTGACGCGGCCACGCGGCTTTTTTTTTTTTTTTTTGCTTTTTTTTTTTTTCTTCAAGCTTGGATTGTACAGACAAGGTGGGTACTATTTGCTTTTTTGGTGTCCCCATGTACATTGGTGTCCTCCATAATTTGCCTTGGTGCTTTCGATCATTTGCCTTGGTGCAATTTCCCATTCCTTGGTGCTCTTTGGTAAAAAAAAATGAGGTGCGGAAATAGAGGGCGCTGTTGGAGCAACCGGGGAACATTTTGGAAAAAAAAAAGATCGACGCGCATGCTTAAAATTGACGCGCGCGCTGACCAGAGACCGACTTATTTTTTTTTTTGGCCTTACCAATATTATATAAGAAATACTAATAAGTAAACGTTAGTACAGGAATAATATAGGGACCAAGCAATGCAGGACGCTGCTTTGTTCTTCAGATATCATTTCAATGAAAATCAGTCATTGCAAAAATGATAAGACATGAATCTGGGACCAAGAAACAATTCCAATTTTGTTAGGAAATACTTAGAAAAAGTTCTTGACTCTCCATAGACTTTGTATACTCCTAGAACTATGATGCTCCGCGGAGCATCATAGTTCTAGGAGTAGACTTTGTACACATAACTGCCGAAGTACCGTCAGGTTGCAACATTCTTTCCCAAGCAATTCCCATTCCAAATAAATTTCTCAAAAAACTGGTATCTCTATTTGGAAAGCACCCCTCCCCCACAATCCACCACCCCTACTCCCTACCCCCTCCCCCACCCCCTCCCCCCCCCCCACCATCCTCCCCCTCCCCTACCCCCCCCCCCATCCGTCCCCACCCCCATCCGTCCCCCCCCCCCCCCCTCCAATGAAGGTCGGTCATTGCAAAAACATTTGAAAAGACATGAATCTGGGACTGAGAAACATTTCCAATGTTGTTAGACAATACTTTGAAAATGCACGCAACTCTCCATAGACTGTGTACACAACCAAATTTAAAGAGCTATAGAACTATACGTAAGGAGACCCACGTGCATGCTAGGCCAGTGTGACTGCATTGAGACAAACGTAAACACGGCACATATGCTAACTGCCTCCTTTCAAATTGCACCAAATATCTTTCTTTTTTAATTTTACCTCATCCTAAGAACTGCCTCAACATGATTGTACAATTTAAATTTGGGAAAATACACGATCATCGCAGCTCACAATATCTGAAAATTTCAGCGTGTTACACGTCCCAGCCATCGTGTGGAACTCAATCAAACGTGCCGCCGCTGCGCCCTCTATTGTTCTTCCTGATTAGCTAGCTACCTCCGCTTTTTCAAGTTTTCAAGAGAAGAAATGATGCGGTCCGACATTAATTATTCAGCCGGATCATTTTGCGCGTTAAAGTTAAAACTATCCAAAATTATAAACTCCTTTTATCTGGAGTGTTTCACACGCCAAAATATTAAAATAATATAGCCTACATAAAAAAAAAATTTAAAGTCGGGTGTTTTTTTGTTTCGGAAAAAAATAATCCTGAAAATAAAACTGAAAATTAGCAGAGCCAAAATTGTTAACTGGCAAATATAGGGAATGCAATTTTAAAATCGAGTCAGAAGATTTCCACCAACTTTGTCACACCATCGTGATAATAAGACACGGCCTGAGTCAACCAGTGACGCTTACTTACCTCTACAGGCGTAGAACTCTAGCCGAAGGCATGGGTGATTGCGGCACGCCACGGGGTACAAGCGGACAAACTTGGCCGTGAAAGGGTGGGCTAGCTCGTTCTTGACCACGCTGTCTTGGTCGATGTTAGCCTCGAAAATCTACGAAAAACAAACATCCAGAAAGTGCAATACCTATAATCATCGAAAGGGATACCCCAAGATAGACTGATTGAATGTTTTATTCCCCTAAAACATAGTCTGGCACTGCCGATAATTCCAAAAGTTATCCGACGAGAGTAATATTTTTATATCCCAGCTTGACTTGGAGATACCCAATGTGTTAACATTTTTTTATATTTACATCGAACAAGGTTATTATTTTTGCTCTTTGTGAGCCTATATAAAGGCCCTCAAATCAAATGTTTATGGACAAAAAAAACATGGAAAGCAAACTTTATTCACGAGTCGGCCATATTAACTTGAAAGCGAGGTAAACTCTTCATTTTTAGAACTTGCGAGTAGAAATTAAAGCAATGACATAAAGTTAATTAATACCAGTCTGCTCTGATGAATAAATTAAAATGTGTGTTTAAATGTACCGGTACTTACTGTTTTAAGCCACATTTAAAATAAAATTGAAAGAGAGGATCATGCACAACAATCAATAGTCTGGCACCATCCCATACAACAGTTCACAATTTATAAATAGATTCAGGGAACACGGTCAAAAATGGCTTCCTCCTGAATAAAGTCAACTCCGGAATGGTCAAGCTTAGTATAGACAATTTGTATTTTTTTTGATAAACCGAGGAAAAATTCCTTATTTCTCTGGCAAAATATGAAGCCCTTCTTGTGTTTTTTTTATCATTTATAATCATGGTAGTCAACAACAAACAAAAAATGTGCTTAAATTTATTATATAAAAAATAACCTTTTTCGCCGAAAGAATTACTATCATTATTTTTTAAACAAATTTTCCAAAGTTTTGGAAAAAATGGAAAACGAAACTGTGAATTTGAGCGCTGTGTAGGCTCCCGTGTGAATGAGTCTTACCTTAAACGTCCTTAGAACTAGAAGAAGAATGGACTATGTCGTTGAGATTATTGATTAAGGCCGACTCAGTATATACGCGTCTTCCATATTGTATGTAACAAAATCAATATGGAGTGTTGAGGGAAGTATGACGAGGAATTAATGCATGTACGTAGTGGGTGTTTGCACGAAAACACAATGCCACCGAAGGACTTTTGTCCTATATGGGGACGACGTAAACATAGTACATTTTGTCTGTTCCTTGCATTTCAAGGCTATTTTTGTTAGATTATGGCCCCTTTTCTGCGCCTTTCATTTCATCATGTATTTTTTGTGGTCCTTTTCTGTTTTATTTTGCAGTGAAGTGGAAATAAATGTTTTCTAAACGGACAAGAAAAATAGGGGTTCAAATGAGGTGTGGTTAAAACTGCACCAATTCTTCACCTTAACACACCAAGATATTTGTTACTTTTAATAATTGTGTTCGTTTGTTTGCTACTTTGTATTTTTTTCTAGCTCATTCCCTTCGGGTGACCTTCAATTTCAGCTGGATGCAAAGAGTGACCATCGACAACTGTATCTATGGCGATCTCCCAAGCTGACCAACAAGATAGCATGATACAGATCAACTCGCTAGGCACTGTCTGCTACACTCGGAGTTGCCACGGGCGCCGCTAGACCATTTTGAATGGGGTACCATCATGAAATTTGCCGACGGACCGTCACGCAAAACGAGTGTAATTGATAACTTCCGCCCAATAAACACCCCTGTCACTCCATTTCCTTCACAAATATGTGAATGGCTATCTATGTTGAATACTTTGAATAGATTTAATTTTTCAGTGGGATAAGTTTGCGGAGCGCGAAGCCCTGAGGGCGGGGGTCCGGGACCCGCCTGAGGGCCCCGGGATTTGTTGGATTCTAGATGCTCTGTGGTGCAATCTGGAGCATTTGTGCTCGTGTTTAGGGAGATGGGGTGGGTCATCAAAGTTGATATATGACATCATAAACATCACTTCAAAACTGTAGCTTGACTCTCTTTCGAGATTTGCCCTCTTATGCTTAATCCAAGATTTGGAGTCGTCACTATAATTAACTTCAGCTCAATTCGGAACTGCCGGCGACCGAGCACGTGCTTGTGTTTTGCTTGCCTTTGTGTCAACGGCCGTATATGGTTCGACCTCGCGCGGCAGCTCGAGCCGACATGACAGAATGTACAATCTTTTGCCATGGGTTGCAGAACAGGTTTTTAGCTTCGCGTGGTTTTGAGCAGCGGTGTTTATTTTTTAAATTCTCCATTTTCTCTTCTTTCCCCTTCCTTCTCCATCCTTCAGATTTTATTTTGCAGACAGCACCATGATTTTGCCGACAAAATTAACTAATTGGGGGTGACGTACGCCCCCTCTCCCACACTCCCCCTGTAGCGAAGCCCGTGAGAGTTGCCTGCCAGTTAAGTCATCAACTGGGAACCGACCCGTGCCCATGCATGGGAGGGTAAGTGCATGGACGTCCTTCTAAAACCGTGGTCAAGACCCTGATGGAGGACAGTCGCGCCCGACTGCTGATAAAGAAATGACACAGATGATGGAACAGGCCCGTAGCTCGTCCGTCATCGTGCCCGATGCAAGTTCAAGTTGTAGTATGATGATTCTCTTAGTCACTTTTTGGTCACACATTCACCTTCAACACGAAACTTGACTTTGACCATCGAAGGATCACGATGATTGTCACAGTAAAGGTTTTTTTTAGAATCCACTTTCTTTGTGCCACCCTTGCTCCATGCCGTTACTATGATGAAATTAACACTCTTTTGTCCCCCAAAAATCATGGTCCTCATGTTTCATGTAAAACCTTAATTTTGCAGCTAAGGCGGAAGGGGGGAGGAGAGAATAATAATTTGGTGTTCATATTGCGCGTTATACCAAAAGTTTCATACTGCTTCACAATTATTACCCCTGTTCATTAGGCCATGAGACAACTGTTTGCAGCAGCTCGAGATCAGCGCAATCTGGTCTCTACCTTCACATGTACCCATTTATACTCCTGGGTGGAGAGAACACCTATTGGACTACAGCTAGGAAACAACACGCGCCAGCTCTCGAACAAGTGTCTATTTTATTTTTATATGAAGAAATTCAGAAGAGGAGGGAAGTCTGCTTTTATTAATCAATGTTTCTCATCACCTTTCGCTCAGTAAAGTGGAAATAAATGTTTTCTAAACGGACATGAAAAATAGGGGTTCAAACGAGGTGCGGTTAAAACTGCACTAATTCTTCACCTTAACACACCAAGATATTTGTTACTTTTAATAATTGTGTTTGTTTGTTTGCTACTTTGAATTTTTTTCTAGCTTATTCCCTTCGGATGACCTTCAATTTTAGCTGGATGCAAAGAGTGACCAACGAGCAAATCTATCTATGGCGATCTCCCAAGCTGACCAACAAGATAGCAGGAATACAGATGCAACTCGCCGGGCACTGTCTGCTACACTCGGAGTTGCCACGGGCGTCGGGGCGTGCCATCATGAAATTTGCCGACAGACCGTCACGCAAAACGAGTGTAATTGATAACTTCCGCCCAATAAACACCCCTGTCACTCCATTTCCTTCTTAAATATGTGAATGGCTATTTCTGTTGAATACTTTGAGTAGATATAATTTTTCAGTGGGATAAGTTTGCGGAGCGCGAAGCCCTGAAGGCGTGGGGTCCGGGACTCTGTGGTGCAATCTGAGGCATTTCATGGACACTTTCTCCTGACTTTTTGAATGAAATGCGCTCGTGTTTAGGGAGATGGGGGTGGGTCATCAAAGTTGATATATTACATCACAAACAGCACAATCAAAACTGTAGCTTGACTCTTTTTCGAGATTTGCCCTCTTTAGCTTGATCCATGATTTTGAGTCGTCACTAAGAATCAGCTCAATTCGCAACTGCCTGCGAGCGAGCACGTACTTGTGTTTTGCACAGCTGTATAGCTGTCAACCGCCGTATATGAAGCGACCTCGCGCGGCAGCTCGTGCCGACATGGCAGAATGTACAATCTTTGGCCATGGGTTGCAGAACAGGTTTTTAGCTTCGCGTGGTTTTGAGCAGCGGTGTTTATTTTTTACATTCTCCATTTTCTCTTCTTTCCCCTTCCTTCTCCATTCTTCAGATTTTATTTGCAGACAGCACCATGATTTTGCCGACAAAAAATTACTAATTAGGGGTGACACCCCCTCCCCCACACTCCCCCTGTAGCGACGCCCGTGAGAGTTGCCTGCCAGTTAAGTCATCAACTGGGAACCGACCCGTACCCATGCATGGGAGGGTAAGTGCATGGACGTCCTTCTAAAACCGTGGTCAAGACCCTGATGGAGGACAGTGGCGCCCGACTGCTGATAAAGAAATGACACAGATGATGGAACAGGCCCGTAGCTCGTCCGTCATCATGCCCGATGTAAGTTCAAGTTGTAGTATGATGATTCTATTAGTCACTTTTTGGTCATACATTCACCCTCAAAACGAATCTTCACTTTGACCATCGAAGGATCACAATGATTGTCACAGTAAAGGTTTTTTTAGAATCCACTTTCTTTGTGCCACCCTTGCTCCATGCCGTTACTATGATGAAATTAACACTCTTTTGCCCCTCAAAAATCATGGTCCTCATGTTTCATGTAAAAACTTAATTTTGCAGCCTAACTTCGAAGGCGGAAGGGGGAGGAGAGAATAATAATTTGGTGTTCATATTGCGCGTTATACCAAAAAGTTTCATACTGCTTCACAATTATTACTCCTGTTAGGCCATGAGACAACTGCAGCAACTCGAGATCAGCGCACTCTGGTCTCTACCTTCACGTGTACCCATTCATACTCCTGGGTGGAGGGAGGCAATTGTCGTAAAGTGTCTTGCCCAATACTAAAAGCACCATGTTCCCTGTAAAGGTTCGAATCACGGACTACGCCATGACTCTAACACCCACTGGGCCATAGCTATAGGGAACAACACGCGCCAGCTCTCGAACAAGTGTCTATTTTATTTTTATATGAAGAAATTCAGAAGAGGAGGGAAGTTTGCTTTCATTAATCAATGTTTCTCATCACCTTGCGCTCTATATGCGATTTGTGAAATATTTTATTGAAAGAGATAGGAATGGAGGAAAGAGAACTCCTTGTGTCAAATGTGGTTTAGACCACCAACAGTTTTTCAAATTTGAGACGGCCAGCTGGCCGGTTGCCCCCGAGAATTTGCCTCTGGACCCCCTTGCCTACCTTCGTCTGTCCGCTCTCCTCGTACTCGATCCAGGGTTGATCGGTGGCATTGGTGTATTTGAGGTAATACTGCGTCACGTAGATCGGATCCAGGTCTGGGTGACGGAAGCCCTGCGTAGCCACAGCACCGATAATCTTGTACTCGTTATACTCAACCTTGTGATAAAATGTTCAAAATATAAGTTGAAAATGCGACACTTTCATCATATTTTACACTAAAAAGAGAGATCACAAAAGGACCTCAAAAATGATGCAACTTTTACAGCAATTCAACTCTAAAACAAGTGCGAGTGCAGTATTAGCTCCAGCAAAAAATCCGACGGCGATGGCACATTATGGAGCACCATTTTTTGTCAAAAAAGAATCAACATAGGCCTTAATGCAACTTATCCATTTCTTTTTCAATGTAACCAACGGAAAAAAATTATCGAAAGGTAATCAAGTTCAGCGTGACATGCTATAGATCGTGTTCGTGAAAAGCATTTAACCTCCCCCCCGTAGGTTTTCTCTACACACCCTGCCAAATGCAACAAAATGCAACTTGGCTAAAATAAAACCCTGCTCAATGCAACGAATTGCAACAATGGATTCTGTTGCATTGTGCAGTGAACCCAGTGCATACCAGCCTTGCCACCAAGCAAATACCCTGCTAAATGCAACCAAATGCAATGCTGGATTATGTTGTATTGCCTTGGCACTATGAGCAGTTACTCTGGTAAAGGCAACAAGATGCAACAAGCACGGGGACTTGAGTTGCCTGCTTAAACACAGAAACAAACTCGGGCAAAATATTCTTGCTTATGTCCCATTTTCTCCACGAGTATTGGGTCTATGGACTTCAAACTTGTTGGACGTTGTAGCCTGACTAACTAGCTCACCATACATGTCAAAAAAATTAGAAATTTTTCATAACAAGATACCGTCAAGACGAGATATAGCAAGTAAACACACCACGGAGTGAACCCGCTGACAGCCTACTCTATGGCAATTTACGCACAGAAACAAACTCGGGCAAAATATTCTTGCTGATGTCCCATTTTCTCCACGAGTATTGGGTCTACGGACTTCAAACTTGTTTGACGTCGTAGCTTGTCTAACTAGCTCCCCATACATGTCAAAAAAATTAGGATTTTTTTATAACAAGATACCGTCAAGACGAGATATAGCATCTAAACTAACCACGGAGTGAAGCCGCTGTCAGACTACTCTATGGCAATTTACACACACAAACAAACTCGGGCAAAATCTTCTTGCTTATGTCCCATTTTCTCCACGAGTATTGGGTCTACGGACTTCAAACTTGTTTGACGTCGTAGCTTGTCTAACTAGCTCCCCATACATGTCAAAAAAATTAGGATTTTTTCATAACAAGATACCGTCAAGACGAGATATAGCATCTAAACTAACCACGGAGTGAAGCCGCTGTCAGACTACTCTATGGCAATTTACGCACAGAATCAAACTCGGGCAAAAAATTCTTGCTTATGTCCGATTTTCTCCACGAGTAATGGGTCCACGGAGTTCAGACTTGTTGGACGTTGTAGCCTGACTAACTAGCTCACTATACATGTCCAAAAATTAGAAATTTGTAATAACAAGATACCGTCAAGACGAGATATAACATGTAAACAAACCACGGAGTGAAGCCGCTGACAGCCTACTCTATGGCAATTTACACACAGAAACAAACTCGGGCAAAATATTCTTGCTGATGTCCCATTTTCTCCACGAGTATTGGGTCTACGGACTTCAAACTAGTTGGAGAATATAGCCTGACTAACTAGCCCACTATACATGTCCAAAAAATTAGAAATTGTTCATAACAAGATACCGTCAAGACGAGATATAGCAAGTAAACACACCACGGAGTGAAGCCCGCTGACAGCCAACTCTAGGGCAATTTACACACAGAAACAAACTCGGGCAAAATATTCTTGCTTATGTCCCATTTTCTCCACGAGTTTTGGGTCTACGGACTTCAAACTTGTTTGACGTCGTAGCTTGTCTAACTAGCTCCCCATACATGTCCAAAAAATTAGGAATTTTTCATAACAAGATACCATCAAGACGAGATATAGCATCTAAACTAACCACGGAGTGAAGCCCACTGACAGCCTACTCTATGGCAATTTACACACACAAACAAACTTGGGCAAAATATTCTTGCTTATGTCCCATTTTCTCCACGAGTATAGGGTCTACGGACTTCAAACTTGTTGGACGTTGTAGCCTGACTAACTAGCTCACTATACATGTCCAAAAAATTAAACATTTCTAATAACAAGATACCGTCAAGACGAGATATAGCAAGTGAACACACCACACAGTGAAGTCCGCTGACAGCCTACTCTTTGGCAATTTACACACAGAAACAAACTCGGGCAAAATATTGTTGCTTATGTCCCATTTTCTCCATGAGTATTGAATCTACGGACTTCAAACTTGTTGGACGTTGTAGCTTGTCTAACTAGCTCCCCATACATGTCCAAAAAATCAGAAATTTTTCATAACAAGATACCGTCAAGACGAGATATAGCAAGTGAACACACCACGGAGTGAAGCACGCTGACAGCCTACTCTATGGCAATTTACACACAGAAACAAACTCGGGCAAAATATTCTTGCTTATGTCCCATTTTCTACACGAGTATTGAATCTACGGACTTCAAAATTGTTGGACGTTGTAGCCTGACTAACTAGCTCATTATACATGACCAAAAAATTAGATATTTGTAATAACAAGATACCGTCAAGACGAGATATAGCAAGTGAACATACCACGGAGTGAAGCCCGCTGACAGCCTACTCTATGGCAATTTACACACACAAACAAACTCGGGCAAAATATTCTTGCTTATGTCCCATTTTCTCCACGAGTATTGGGTCTACGGAATTCAAACTTGTTTGACGTTGTAGCTTGTCCAACTAGCTCCCAATACATGTCCAAAAAATCAGAAATGTTTCATAACAAGATGCCGTCAAGACGAGATATAGCAGGTGAACACACAACGGAGTGAAGCCTGCTGACAGCCTACTCTATGGTAATTCACACACACAAACAAACTCGGGCAAGATATTCTTGCCTATGTCCCATTTTCTCCACGAGTATTCGGCCTACGGACTTCAAACTTGTTGGACGTTGTAGCTTGTCTAACTAGCTCACTATACATGACCAAAAAATAAGAAATTTGTAAAAACAAGATACCGTCAAGACGAGATATAGCAAGTGAACATACCACGGGGTGAAGCCCGCTGACAGCCTACTCTATGGCAATTTACACACAGAAACAAACGCGGGCAAAATATTGTTGCTTATGTTCCATTTTCTCCACGAGTATTGGGTCTACGGACTTCAAACTTGTTGGACTTTGTAGCTTGTCTAACTAGCTCCCCATACATGTCCGAAAAATTAGAAATTTGCAATAACAAGATACCGTCAAGACGAGATATATCAAGTGAACACACCACGGAGTGAAGCCCGCTGACAGCCTACTCTATGGCAATTTACACACAGAAACAAACGCGGGCAAAATATTCCTGCTTATGTCCCATTTTCTCCACGAGTATTGGGTCCACGGACTTCAAACTTGTTGGGCGTTGTAGCCTGACTAACTAGCTCACTAAACATGTCAAAAAAATCAGGAATTTTTCATAACAACATACCGTCTAGACGAGATATAGCATGTAAACAAACCATGGAGTGAAGCCCGCTGACAGCCTACTCTATGGCAATTTACACACAGAAACAAACTCGGGCAAAATATTCTTGCTTATGTCCCATCTTCTAAACGAGTATTGGGTCCACGGACTTCAAACTTGTTGGACGTTGTAGCCTGACTAACTAGCTCACTATACATGTACAAAAAATTAGATATTTGTAATAACAAGATACCGTCAAGACGAGATATAGCAAGTGAACATACCACGGAGTGAAGCCCGCTGACAGCCTACTCTATGGCAATTTACACACACAAACAAACTCGGGCAAAATATTCTTGCTTATGTCCCATTTTCTCCACGAGTATTGGGTCTACGGAATTCAAACTTGTTTGACGTTGTAGCTTGTCCAACTAGCTCCCAATACATGTCCAAAAAATCAGAAATGTTTCATAACAAGATGCCGTCAAGACGAGATATAGCAGGTGAACACACAACGGAGTGAAGCCTGCTGACAGCCTACTCTATGGTAATTCACACACACAAACAAACTCGGGCAAGATATTCTTGCCTATGTCCCATTTTCTCCACGAGTATTCGGCCTACGGACTTCAAACTTGTTGGACGTTGTAGCTTGTCTAACTAGCTCACTATACATGACCAAAAAATTAGAAATTTGTAAAAACAAGATACCGTCAAGACGAGATATAGCAAGTGAACATACCACGGGGTGAAGCCCGCTGACAGCCTACTCTATGGCAATTTACACACAGAAACAAACGCGGGCAAAATATTGTTGCTTATGTTCCATTTTCTCCACGAGTATTGGGTCTACGGACTTCAAACTTGTTGGACTTTGTAGCTTGTCTAACTAGCTCCCCATACATGTCCGAAAAATTAGAAATTTGCAATAACAAGATACCGTCAAGACGAGATATATCAAGTGAACACACCACGGAGTGAAGCCCGCTGACAGCCTACTCTATGGCAATTTACACACAGAAACAAACGCGGGCAAAATATTCCTGCTTATGTCCCATTTTCTCCACGAGTATTGGGTCCACGGACTTCAAACTTGTTGGGCGTTGTAGCCTGACTAACTAGCTCACTAAACATGTCAAAAAAATCAGGAATTTTTCATAACAACATACCGTCTAGACGAGATATAGCATGTAAACAAACCATGGAGTGAAGCCCGCTGACAGCCTACTCTATGGCAATTTACACACAGAAACAAACTCGGGCAAAATATTCTTGCTTATGTCCCATCTTCTAAACGAGTATTGGGTCCACGGACTTCAAACTTGTTGGACGTTGTAGCCTGACTAACTAGCTCACTATACATGTACAAAAAATTAAAAATTTGTAATAACAAGATACCGTCAAGACGAGATATAGCAAGTGAACACACCACGGAGTGAAGCCGCTGACAGCCTACTCCACGGTAATTTACGCAAAGAAACAAACTCGGGCAAAATATTCTTGCTTATGTCCCATTT